GGGGGCGGCGGGGGCGGCCGGCGGGGCGGGCGGTCCCGGCGGGGCGCTGCAGCGGGAGCCGGTGTACAACTGGCAGGCGACGAAGCCGACGGTGCAGGAGCGGTTCGCGTTTCTCTTCAACAACGAGGTGCTCAGCGACGTGCACTTCCTGGTGGGGAAGGGCCGCGGCTCCCAGCGCATCCCGGCGCACAGGTGGGGCGGGGGGCGCGGGGGTCCCAGCGTGGGGAGCCGGGAATGCGGGAGGGATGTGGGGTGTGGGGGGACCCGGCCCCATGGCTCTGAGGGGTGGCCGCGGGTCCCGGGCCTCGGAAGCATCGTGGGAGCGGCCTGATGGCCCTGAGGGGGTCCCCTCAACCCCCGGACCCTGATAAAGGGAATCGCTCGTTTATCTGCCAAAACTGCCTATCAGGCATCGCCCCTCATCCCTCAGGCATTATTCCTTCATCTTCCAAATTGCCCTTCGGGGATTACTCCACTTGCCCCCCATGCTATTCCTCATGGGATTGCTCCTTTATTCCMTCAGGGAATTGCCTCTTTATCCCCCTCACTTTCCCTCAGAGATTGCTCTCCTCACCCCTCTACGTTATCCGCCTAAACTGCTCCGTTATTGCTCCTTTTACTCCCTCACGTTTTCCCTCAGGAAATTGCTCCTTATCCCTCAAAACTGCCCCTCAGGGGTTGCTTCTCAGGGAATGTCTCCTTATTCTCAGAACTGTTCCTCAGGGATGGCCCCTCATCCTTTTCAGGGATGATCCCTTTACTCTCCCTCAGGGATCGTCCCTCATCCCCAAAACTGCCCCTCAGGGGTTGCTTCTCAGGGAATGTCTCCTTATTCTCAGAACTGTTCCTCAGGGATGGCCCCACATCCTTTTCAGGGATGATCCCTTTACTCTCCCTCAGGGATCACCCCTCATCCCCAAACTGCCCCTCAGAGATGGCTCTGGGAGGGCTGTGGGCTSTCCTGCACCCTCAGGGGGGTGATGTGCCAGCAAGGGTTTACAGGGGTGCAGGGTTTGAGCTGCTATACCTCCCTTGTGAAGAGAAAAAAAAGGGGTCACATAACTGCACCTCACATTTCACCCCCTGCTCAGGGACAYGTCCTGAGCACGGCATCCCCCTGTTTGCTTCCCCTGGCCCTGAGAGGTGACACTGCCCCTCATCATGGTCAGTCAGGGTCACCCCAGATCTCTCCCAACCCTCSGGTCAGTTCATGTCTCTCCTCCTGGTTACCAGCCTGGGGATGGGTCCAGTGTTGGGATGAGAGTGTTTTTCTCAGAGGGATGGTATRAGTGGGCCAGGCACAGTGTTGAAACCCCAAAATCCGTGGATATCCCTTGGAAGTAACCCTTGATTTAGTGAGAAGTAGAGGTGAGGAGGAATAGTCTCCCAGGCTGCCTGATCCCTGCTGATAGGGCTCACCAAAAGCAGGGAGAGCACTGGGGATGGAAATGAAAAAAAAAAAAGTGATTTGAGAACCCAGATTTTGAGCACAACATTTTAATTTTAAAATGACCTTTACCAAATCTCTYCCGAAGCCCTGTATTTTGGGAGTTAATCCACTACTGTTAATAGCTGAAAGAGCTGTGTTGAGAACAACACCTGGGTCTGAGTAACCTGTGGAGGTTAATGCTTAAGGCCTAGCTGCCATTTAAGAATTTGCAGCTCAGAGGAGCTGGGAATTGAGGAGCTGGGAATCGCCTCCACCTGGATGATGCGGCTGTGATGTGGCTGATTGACATTTTGCTGTTTCCTTGGGGGAGCTCCAKTGAATCCATGTGTGCCACCCTCTTCCTCCTACCCTGGGAAGGGCCTCCTAAGGAAGAGCTCARAGATGGAACCAGCTTTAACTGGGGTGAGGGAGACTCCTTGGTGTACCTGGAAGTTGTGCTTGGTAAAGGGAGCCTYGCTCCAAACCGTTTCAAACTATTGCTTTTCTCCTAAGTGCTCATGTTCYTGGAAGTTTCCCCTTCAGCTTTTCCCCTTCTCTCTTGGTTTCAGAACAAACAGCACTTGTTCTAGGCTAGGTTTGAGTGTTTAGGGTGTCAGCTTTGCTCTCTTATAATTTGAAGCTTAATTAGTATTTGGTAAGCTTGCTCCTGTCCTGAGAACTAGGTTTGCTGGGTGGGGACAGGTGATGTTCAGCGCAGAAATAAATGGGAAATAAATGAACCTTTAAAAATAAAGAAAATTGGCCCCAAAGTGAGATGCTGCTTAATTGCTCTGAAATTCATCTGGTGCTCTGGGTGGTAAAGATAGAATGGAGTGTGTCACCGTGTGACGTCCCACCTAAGGATTCTAGAGATTTTAGTAAAACTTGTCTGTGTGATGTTACAGTTGGGATATCCTGGTGATTCATGAAGTACTGTGATTATTCAGAAACAAGAGAGCTTAAAATAAAACCACCCAGACCCCTTCTGTGCTCAGTTTTCCCACAGCAGCTCAACAGCAGAACATACTKTGTGTTGGAATTGAGTTGTAAAGCAGCCGTGAGTTCAGTTAGAGGGGCTGTTTTACTTCAATGACCAGGGTAGGTGTTGGTGCTTTGTCAGATGTGTGAAATCATAAAATCATGGAGTTGTTAAGGTTGGAAAAGACCTTTAGGATCRTGAAGTCCAACCATCAGCCCAKCACCMCCATGTTCACYATTAAAACATGTCCCCAGGTGCCACATTTTTTGTACATGCCATATTTTTTGAACACTTTCAGGGATGGTGACTTCACCATTACCCCGAACAGCCTGTTCCAATGCTTTACAACCTTTTMTGTGAAGAAATTTTCCGTAATATCCAATCTAAACCTCCCCTGGCACAACAGTGCACAGCTCCTAGATAAGTGTTTTCTGCAGTCTGGTTTAGTCGTGTACATTTTCATACCAGGCCAGATACAAAGTGAGGCTGCAGATCCTAAATAGGGTTCTTGGACAGCTCCTCGTGGTGCCTCAGGGAGGGGTCTGTCATCCTTGATGTGACTGCATGGGTGTGTTAGGAATGGCTTTGGCAACAGATTGGATTGCAGAAATAATCTGAGAGGTGCAGTCCTGTGGGAGCTGGAAGTGATGGTGGAGGTGGTTCCTGGTCAGGCTTCTCCAGGATGGAGCTGGGGGGATGTGGAGTTTTTGTAGGTTGAAGTAATGAAGTGCCGTGTGCCCAGTGAGCACAGATGATGTTGTCCACATGTGCTGGTGCCAGGAGAAAGTTTCTGACATAGCTGTAGCTTCAGGTATGTTTCTGAGTAAGCCTGGCAAGTTCAGTTAATGGCCTTAGTCTGAAATTAGGGGAGATTTAGATTAGACATCAGGAAGGAATTGTTCCCTGTGRGGATGGTAARGCCCTGGCACAGGTTTCCAGAGCAGYTGTGGMTGCTCCATCCCTGGAWGTGTCCAAGGCCAGGTTGGATGGGGCTTGGAGCACCCTGGGACGGTGGRAGGTGTCCCTGCCCATKGCAGGGGGTGGMACTGGATGAGCTTTAAGGTCCCTTCCAACCCAARCCAGTCTGGGATTCTGTGGCTCAGCAGTTTGTATCAAGCCTCAGAGACAGGCAGTGGAAATCTCACAGAGCAACTAAGAGCAAGCATTCATTTTGTGTATGAGAGCCTAGTTTGTAGATAAAAAGTGTAAATGGTGCTGCTGGGTTTGACTGAAGGCTCACCTGTCCATGCATCAGTAGCCCTGAGAAGATCAGGTACTTTCCACCTGGAGGAGGCTCCAGATCCCGTGGAAGTTCCTTGCCTACCCTGGAGCAGGCTCTGTCTCTGAGCCTTGAGCTTGTTCTCTTTTGCTGAGGAAATCAGCCTTCAAGAAGATGGAATGGCCTTAATTTTTTTTGCTGTCAAGGCCGGGCCGAGCGGCCTCCTCGAAGCTTCATGGCGCCAACATAGCCAAGGTCAACACATTGATTAGACCCAGYAGTAAGAGGGAAGAGTTTTTGTCTTCTTCCAGATTAGTTTAACTGAGCACAGTATCAATAAGATTAGAAATGTCTAAACCTCATCAGACAGGAGCTGCATGGGTGTCTTAATTAAACTTGTTAATTAGCCAGAAAACAGGGCCCGAGAGTGAGCAGGGCAAGCATGTGGGGATGCAGCCCTGTGCATGCTCTAGCCTGGGAATTCTACAGCCTGGGGACAACTTGAGTAAGATTTTGGCTGTTGTTTCCAGGAATGTCCTCTGAGCCCATCCTGTCTTTCCTCAGACACATATTAACTTGCAGTTCCTGCAGTGCCGTGTGCTGAGGTGTCCCATGGCTCAGCTCCTGTGTAGGGCTGCTCCTGTCTGCTCCTCCTTTCACCTGGGGTCTGCATCCTCTGCAGCCAGCCTACAATCATCATCACCAGCTTCTCATCACCTATGGTGTCACCAAGCTCCAGCACATCATGTGTTGCTCTGTTCCTGTGCCAGCTCTTCTGGAATAGATATTTTAAGGTTTCTCCGCAGTTGTGCAGATGGAGGAGGGAGCTGGTGAGGCAGCGGTGGGGTAGTTGTGGGTTTTGAGTGGTTTCTTTTATTATTATTGGTGTTAYTGTGTGCCTGGAAAGGGAGCAGCAGTGGTGGGTGTGCAGATGAAACCAGGTGACAAGTGGAGGTGCCAAGGTGAACATGAAGCAGGGAATGTTGTGGTAGGRAGCAAGAAAACAGAAGGAAAGACATTTTTTTTTGCAGGCCTTAACAACCTGTGGAGTCAGCTCTGGATCCTCGTGAAAACAAATCAAATAATTAACTTCATGGAAGTTCCTGTGACTTATTGCCAAAAGTCAGCTGACTTTGGCTCTTCCTGGTGCAAAGGGAATGAAGAGAGATCAGGTGTTGCTTTCTTAGTTCCTTTGTTCTGTTTCTGCTGATTTYTCTGCCTCCTTTCAGTAGTCCACTTTATTTTGGCCACAAAAGTGTTTAAAAATAACTTTCTGTTGAATTTTCCCATCTGAAACAAACCTGTCTGTTCCTTCTGCAGACCTGCATGGTTGGGGAAAACTGTTGGATTGTGTAGGAGGAATGGTGTGCATCCCTGCTTTTCTGGAATGTCTTTAGAGCAGCTTTAAATGTTCATTTTAGGAAGAGTAGGAAAACACTGGAGAGAGAGGGATTTCTTATGTTAATTATATTCTCTTAAAACATTAAGAGAATTCCAAATGTGGAGTCCTGTGTTTCTCTGGCACCTCCTGGGATCCTATTAGGGCTCAGCAGTTTACAAAATCCGACTGATTTGTCCCTGACTGAAATGGAAGCAAACATTTGAGAGTTTTTTTAAATGAATGCCCTTTTCAAATAGCTTCTGAAAGCTCTTGCCCATTGAGGRCCTATACTGTGCTAGCTGTGAGAATGAAAATTTGAGAGTGCAATTAATATATGTTAATTTTTAGTATCAAACAAAGCCAGCGATTGTTTTGCCACCATCGCTGCTTTTGGAGGAACAAGGATTTTTGTTTCATCTGGCAATTCTGGTATTATGAGGAAGGTTTTTATTTGTTCTTGACATTTTTCTTGAGAATGGTTTGACAGAAATATGCATATGTGTACTTTTTTTGTAACCACTGTGGTTTGTCCCGGGCTCCCTGAGCCCATCAGGAACAATGCAGCCGGCTCATCAGCCAAACTCGGTCACAGCAAACGAGCCTGGCACATCCATGGAGCTTTGCTCCATTGTATCCCTGGGAAGCCTCCTCTGGATGGGAGGGCAGTGAAAAGCGAGAAAATGAAAACATTATTTAAATGGAAATTTCCTACTAAATCTGACTGAAATTCCCCCTTAGTGCTGCACTTTGCTTGGGCTGGAGGTTTCTGCTCCATGACTGCTGTCCTGTATGGATTTCTGCCTGCTTCTCTGGAAGTGTTCATCAAACCACTTCAGCAAGAGCCTGGAATATTCCAGCTTCTTCCTTTTCCTAGTTGGTGGAGAAATGGTTGCAATCATCTCCTGCAGCCTGGGCTGCTCTGCTTCCCCACACTGCTGAGCTGTGACCTTCGTGGCMTGGGCTGGGTTTAACTTCAGGGAGCTGCGTGGTGGCAGACACCAGGAATCCTTCATGGCAAAAGCTTATCTTTGCATTTTCAAACAAGAAAGTTCTCAAAATTACTAAGTCCTAAGGCAGGTACAGCAGCTGAAATATGCACAGGCCCCTCAGCAGCCCAGGCCTGGGCCTCCTCCTACAAGCAGGAGTTGGTATCTGTCAGGGGGAATCATCTTGTTTACATGAGAGTACTGGGATRTAATTTTTGATCTCAAACCTGTTTTGTGCAAGTTCCTGCTTCCAGTCTTTTTAGAGCTGATAACGTTCTTCTCTGCACCAGTAATYACCACGTAAGCTCTCAGCAATGTTGAAGGGTTTTGTGTGCACCTCACAGTGCTGGTTTGCTCCGAGGGAGGTTTGCTCTTCCTTCTGGGCTAAGCCTGGAATAGGTTATCCATGGAAGGGCTCAGCAACCTGCCTGGGCAAGGCAACTCCTTGTGCTGCTGTCAATGCAGTTTCACGTTTTGGGATCTTGCTCTGCTGTCACCAGGGGTGTGTGCCTGGGTCTGAGGAAGAGGATGGGTAGTGTGCAGTGACAAGTTTTCCATAGGTATTTCCGGTAGGTGACTGTGGAGAAATGCACCAAGACTTCAGCTCTGTTTRCTGGAAGAACTTGAACTCCTTAACTTTCCTGTTTCTTAGCATCTCAAGCTGAGGATGTTCCATAGGCTCCTACAAGGACTTTGCAAAGCAGCCATGTGTATTCTATTCTATAATCCCCAAAATCTGGCCTTTGGGGAACCATTACTGTGCTGTATCCCAGGACAGGACTCAGAAGGAAGTTCCTTGCAGCTTTGGTGCTTTGCAGTAAAAGAGCAGCAAGCCTGTCCCTCCCTGCTCTTGCAAAACACGTTTGCTTTAACACCACAAACGATTTGCTTTCCCTGAGGGTGGCTTTGGGGATTAGCAACAAGCCTGGGATTTTTTTTTTTTGGAAGATGAATATGATTTAACATAGGTTTTATTTGCATGTTTGTTTCTTTTTTCACGTTAGGTTCGTGCTGGCCGTGGGCAGCGCCGTCTTCGATGCGATGTTTAATGGTGGGATGGCCACAACCTCCACAGAGATTGAGCTGCCTGACGTGGAGCCTGCTGCCTTCCTAGCTTTGCTCAAGTAAGCTGCTTCTAGAGCACAGGATAACTGKGCTGCACAGATTTAGTGTAGAAAACAAACGTTCTTAATGAAAGCAGGGAAATACTGGTAGAGCGGAGATTGTTGACTTCCAAAATAAAATGCTTCTTTGATCTGTGCAAGGATATTTAAATGCTGGTATCAAATCCCTGTTTTTTCTGGGTAAAAGTCTAGTGTACCTACTCCATTAAAAAAAACTGGCCATTGTCTTACAGATTCTTATTCATGAATTGGTTTGATTTCACCCAAATACTCTTAGAGAGAAGAGGAGAAAAGTGATCCTCTGAAAGCTCTCTRAGTTACAAATACTTGGAGCTTATTTAGGTTAGAAGCAAGCTGTAACAGGTAAGCAGGGCTATGTAATAAATGTCAGCCGTTCCATGTGGTATCACCCTTTGTGTGGTTTTATTCCTCTTTTGGAGAGCTGGGTTTGAATTTACATTTCCTGTGTGTGTTGTAAGTCTTGTGTGCTGGAGGAGGAGGAGGAGGAGGAGGAAGGGGYTGTAACGTCCTATTCACCAATTCCTTTAAGCTCGGCTGGTGCTGTTCAACATCCAGCAGCATTCCTGAATGGATGCTAGAAAGTCATTGTCCTGTTTTTATAGGATTTCTGTAACCTACTTCCAGGGGTTTCCAGTCCTGTGCTCTTGACATGTTCCCTGCTTGCTTCCTATTGGGAGCAGTGACTATATATAGCTCTGGCACACTTTTTGCTTTACCTTCACAAAGTGCTTTGGTCATGCCTGTGCTATCTTGGAATATTTTAAAATTGATCTTGGCTAGAATGAAAGGCCAGAAATAATTGGGAGCCCTGAGCCCCCTCCCCTTTGGCATACTTTAAACCAGACACCAGCATGTGGGGAATCCCTCTAATTGGTGTGTGCCTATCAGCCACGTGGATCTCACTGGAGTGCAGAGCTAGTAACTATCTTTAAATCTAAGTGAGGCTCAAATATCTAGTGAATTAGAGGCAAAAGTCCTGTTGTTTCCCTGCCAGTGCTGAGATTTCAGCACTTGATTAAACAGAGGGATTTCAGAAGAGACCCATCATCTCAAAAGACAAATTGATGAGTTTAGGTGGATTTCAACAGAAATATAAATATTTTTTAATGGAAGATGTTGTGTGTGGATTACTTCAGTGCCTCTGAGCTTGCAGTTAGGCTGCAGTAGCTGTGCCCATGGGCCAGCGACATCTTGGRTACTTAAATCTGGAATGAAACTGTTGCTTTTAAAATACTCAGAGCTTAAATGTGCCAGAGGAAGTTTGTGTGCTGCTTTCCAGGAGGAAGCTGACCAAGTATGTGGTATGAGTTCCTGGAGTAAAACCAGTCCCTCCAAACACTGATCTGGAATGGCAGCTGATCCTTACATATGTCTCTGGACTTGGTCCAAGCCATGATCTAATGCTGTAGGATCAGGAGCTTATCCAGGGACAAAGTGCCCATCCTGAATATTCTGCAGAAGGTCCCATYTGGATATTGGATCATGATGGATTTTGTGGGCTGGTGAACTTTAATAGGTTTGCTGTAATTGCATACAGATTCATATACTTTTCATTATTATTATTATTTTTATGTTAACACAAAGAACATTTTGATTGTCTGGGATTACAGTCTAAATGTTTTTTTTTAAATTGATACTGGGCTTTTTGACAGTTTGAGCCTCTCTTGTTGTCCCTCTTAGCACACACTGGACTGTGGTAAACAGAAATACTGACGTAGTCATTGCAGTAAACAAATAATTGGTTTCGGAGCCACTGTGTTCTTTTAATCTTGGAATAGAAAGGACTGTTCAGTGCAAATGGGGCTGGGAAGGGATGTGTGCAAAATCCATTGATGAACCTGCGGCCTGATGCTGCTATTGACAGATGCCCTGGAGCAGCAGAAAAGCCTGCTTTCAGCACAGTGAGTGCTTCCCTTCCTGTGGATCCCACTGTTGATGCTTCCCTGAATGGCATCCGGGTCCTCTCCAGCTGGAGGAGCAGGAGTTCCTCTGCTGCAGATGAGAACACTGCCTGGCATCCCCCTGGAAGAGCCCTGCTGCTGTGGGAAGCCTCCAGGAACAGCAGCCACTGCTGTGCCCCCTTCAGAGAAATKCAGGGGAAGAAATTGCTGGAGTTGCCAAAAGATCCTGTGGAACAGGAATGCCAAGCACAGTTAACACCATATTACATTTCTGTGCTTTGTGCCTTTGAGATCCCAAGTGGCAAACRCTCCACTGGTTAAAGGAAAAACAGTTAACAAAAACTCTGCATGGCTGCTCAGCCTGGGCAAGAGAAGGCTCCAGGCAGACCTCAGAGCCCCTTGCAAGGCCTAAAGGGGCTCCAGGAGAGTGTCTTGGGACAAGGGTTGGAGGGACAGGACACAGGGAATGGCTTGCCAGTGCCAGAGGGCAGGGATGGATGGGATATTGGGAAGGAATTGTTCCCTGGGAGGGTGGGGAGGCCCTGGCACAGGGTGCCCAGAGCAGCTGTGGCTGCCTCATCCCAGAAAGTTTCCAAGGCCAGGCTGGACAGGGTGTGGAGCAACCTGTGGAAGGTGTCCCTGTCCATGGCATGGGATGGAGCAAGATGGTCTTTAAGGTCCCTTCCAASCCAAACCAGTCTAGGATTCTGTGATAAGGACTAACACCAGTATGTCACTGGTTTAACTGAGCTCAGCCTGTCAGTTCCTGCTGTCTCTGGTCAGTGAGTTCAGGTATGAGGGTGTTCAGTCARGTTTCCTAGGAAGACCTTTGTTTTTCACATATGAATGTGCCTCCTTGCTTTGGCCTAACAGTGAAGGCTGGTGCTTTGCTGCAGCATGGCAGTCCTTGTTTTTCTCTGCAATGAACTCTTGCTTTGTGCTGAAATTGCATTGTAAGCTGTACTTAAACATCTGTGTTATGGAATGAAAGAGTTCAGTCTATAAAGTGAAGAGATGAGAAAGGGGAGTGTGGGTAAAGCATCTCGTGTGCAGTGGATGGATATGTTKGAGTGCTTATCAGCACTTCTGAATTAGTATTGTAAAATGGAGCTTCTCTTCTGAAGGAGAAGAATTTTTGTCCTTATTTATTCAAATTCAGCAGCCAAAAAAAGAGAATTCTAAGGGAACACTTGGCCAGAGACTGTTCTAGCCTGGTGTAAGAGCTCGCTGGTGGTGGGATGCAAGGCAGTTCAAGCTGCTTCAGTGAAAATCCCAGCTATTAAAAGTTATACTGTAAGATATCTGTTACAAAAAAAAAAATCTTCATAAACCAGTGACTGGAAAGGATGTGAAAACCCTCCTATCTCTCCAGTAGAGGAAGTGGATCTAGGCTGACGGGCAGAGGCACAAACATGTTTTCTTTGAATTACAGGAGTTTTACMCCGTTATCTTAATTCACTGCAGCAATGTTTGTGTGTTTTCAGATTTCTTTATTCAGACGAAGTTCAGATTGGACCAGAGACTGTTATGACAACACTTTACACAGCTAAGAAATATGCAGTTCCAGCCCTTGAAGCTCATTGTGTGGAGTTTCTTAAAAAAAACCTCCGAGCAGACAATGCATTCATGCTGTTAACTCAGGTGAGTTTGGATCAGTTGCCTTCAGCAAGGCCCAGCAGAGTCAGAAAATGGGAGTTTTCTGGGTATTACAGAGTTGATCACCCAAAGTGGAGCAGTTCTGGGTCGTTTTGAATTCATTTCATAGGAGTCCAGCATTGCTGAGCAGGTTCTTACAATGAACARTAAAACACAGCAAATGTTGCTGCTGTTTCAGATATTTCTGTTTCACTGTGGCAGGTTGTTCCTTCCAGAGTGTGAGCTGGGGATGGAGTTAACAGGGTGGAAAGATTTCATCTGCCAAGAAGAAAAGTGGAATGAGAGGATTTCCGTGTGTTACAGAATCAGGACTGGTAATGCTGAGCTTTCTCTCAGTGCTGTGTCTGGCTGCTCAGCCTTTCCTTGAAGGACTTCTGTGCAATCCTTTCTCTGAAGTGGGGGTGAAGGAAAACGTTTTTATGAGTTCTTTGGTTTATTTTCCTGGGGCAGGAGCAAGGTGCTCTCTTCCTCAGCCTGTTCCTCCTGCACTGCAGTCTCACAGACACGGAGTTGTCAGAGCAGCTGTCCCTGGGCCCTGTGTCTCATCCAGCCTCTGAGTGCTGGGCTCCTCCACCTTCCACTTGACTCTTGAAGCAGCAAAGTAGAAGACAATGTTTACAACTTCTGTTTCATTTGGAAAATATCAGACTGCATCCAGGTTGATTAAATGAACATCACTGTCCTCCTTATTTCCCAGCCCCATCTTCTTTCTCTGGTCCCTGCCACTCTCTCTCTGACTGCTGATGCCATATTGGTGATATCCACGGTGCCATCATCTGTGTGGTAGAGTCTGGCACCACCAGGGGTTACCCTGTTCTGGGTGCTGTAGGAATAAGAAACAGGCATTGTGTGAGTTTCTTTCTTTTAGGGAATGGGCAGACTTTGGACTGGCTCTGGAGGGATGTTTCTGATCAGCCAGTTCAGGAAAGCTGCTGTCATGTCTGGTGTTGAACAGACCTTGCAGAGGAGTTTGCCAGCTGCACTGGGTTGGGAACCAGCACACTGAGGTGGTCTGGCTCTGAGGGATTGCCCTGTCTTGCTCAGCATTCCTGTCTGCTGGATTTTCCTCCTTGTCAGGGGTACAGGTGTGTCTCAGGCTCTGGCTGTAGCAGTCGTGTGGGTGGCAGTGGCTACACCAGCAGTTTTGCAGATACTGAAGCAGTGCTGGCCTGAAGCAGTGACTGCTGAGCTCTTTGCTTGGGATTAGGCTGGAAGGTTTTTTTTTGAGTTTAAATATTTGGATCARTTCTCAAAGTGCTTCCATGTCACACTGCTGTTGTAGACACTCGTCACTGCTTGGGTTCAGCTATTCCTGCAACACTCCATGGCCTTCTTTTTACATCCTCTTTAACCTGGCCCTTTTCCATGTGCCATGAGCAGATGAGATAGTCCCTGAGACATGGGGAAATCCACACTGCACTTCCCAGAGGCAGATTCAGGAGTCAAAGGCTCATGATTGGCTGATGGCAGCCAAATCTGTGCTCCCATGGTAGGACAATTGTGACTCCTTGGCTGCAGCTCTCCCGTTCWTTGGGTTCAGCAGCTGCAATCTGAAACATCAGGAGCTGTTAGCCAAGAGCTGGGAAGAGATCTGCTGAAGTTTTGGGGAGGCATCTTAGGATAGCTCTTGGTGGTGTTCCTTATGCTGAGATTTTTTGTGGCTTCCTGTGTCTCTGCATTTGAGTTTGTAGCTTTGGCAAGGTAATATTTAGRTTTGTGGTGGCTTCCTTATGAGTCAAAAAGGTCCTTCTTTGGCAAAAAGGGAAGCTGTCCTTGTGTTTCAGGTACCAAAACTAAAATACCACCTGGCCTTCTGTCAATAGCACTGAGGCAGCTGAAATGCAAGATGGGGAAGGGSTTTCCTGGTTCCTTTTATTTGTGGCTTGTCCATTCTGATTAATTATCGGTGGTGATTCCCATCTCATTTTATGTTCACTGTTTCTCTGTACCAAGCCTGGGATGTTTGAGAAACATGCCCGATCTCCATGACTGGCTGGACCTCACTGAAAGGATCTCTTCTCACAACCCTCTTGTTTCTGGTCCTGCAGCGTGAAAACCTGCCTGTTTTCTGCTTTCACTGCATCAAACCAACAACCTCTTCAGTAAATTACTGACCTGAAATATATCTTGTACAAGGCTTTGCCCAGCAGCCTGAAAATCATGGACCTGAGATCCCAGTTGAAGCCCAAGGCCTTTTGTGTGTGTCTGCCCAACCTGCTGGTCCAGCAGCTGTGTCACTGCCTGTCTCAAACAACTGCTGATCTCTGCAGAAATATCAGTGGCAGAAATATCAGGGGCAAACAGCTTTTTCCTAATTGATTGTGGCTCATAGTAAACTGTGATCCTCTTTCATGCCAGACRTACATCCAAATGTCACTTTGATCAGCAAGGAAATAAAGCTTGCCTGGAGCTGCTGTGGGGGAGAACTCTGAGCAAAATGTAATTCCTCACATGTCCAAAGAGCCACTACAGTAGTAAAGTCTGAGTCAGTCACAGCTCTTGATGCCAAGAGTGTAAGGCACTGGCAGCCCTCCAGCCCCTGGAGCAGGTGACAACTGCTGAAGTTTTCCCTGGGCCCTGAGACGTGGCTGTTTCAGCTTCCTGCAGCAGAGGTCTCAGCATCAGAGGTTGGCCTTGCTGAGCTCCACATCCCATGAGCAGGGGTGGAGCAGAAGATGCTTGAAGGTGCCTCCTGAGTGGTGGAATTCCCAGCCCAAAACATGAGTTTTAAACCTTACCTGTGGCAGTGACTTTGAATCCTGGTGTATTCTTGTGAGGTGTGATGTCAAGGCAGCTCTTTCCTAAACAGCCAAACCAAAGCACTGGAAGTAAGAGGTCATTTAGTGGTTTTTGTGTGTTCCTCCCCATTTCTGCTTATACTGGGCATAGGGTTGGTAACACATGGCAGTCCAGGGTGATCTGAAGTGGCAGCAAAATTTTTACAAGACTTTGCTTAAGTTGGGCAGAGAAATTCTGAGCTCCAAGCTGTGTGCAGGCTTTGCTTGGAMTAGTAACCTATTTTGGGATAAATTCTTTAAGGTGACTGGATTAGAGTAGCTGTTTCTKTGCAAAACATGGAAATGCACTAAGCAGGCTGTGTACCCTGCAGGGCACCCCAGGACACACAGGCACTGCTGCTGCAGCTTTTTTGCTAATACACGAGATCAGTGTGGCTGTTCTTACAGAATAAGCTGCCTCTGCATTATTCCTCGAGCAAGCAGGCCTGGAGTCACTGGGCAAAGCTTTCTTGTAAATAGCAAAATGATGTAAAAATTGCCCATGCTCAGCTGACAGGGTCAGTATGGTGCTAGAAAGCACGATCSGTGCCTGCACCCGGGTGATGTTAAAACAAAGACGTGCCTGAAGACATGCACAGCTGAACCAGGGCTGCTGCCAAACACAGAATTTTCTAGTGTTTGCCTTGTCATGCTTAACTGCTTGTGAAAGGCCCAGTGGATTCCTGGTGCAGTCAGGCACGGTATTGCTAATGAAGATGGGCTGTGGCAGGGGAAGGGGGGTTCTTAGTGTAAACTTTAAAATACCTTTGCTGCTAATGACTCTGTTTCCTCCCTAGGCCCGGCTGTTTGATGAGCCCCAGCTGGCCAGCCTGTGYCTGGAGAACATAGACAAGAACACCTCAGATGCCATCAATGCAGAGGGGTTTACAGACATTGACCTGGGTAAGCTCTTTCCCCTGCTCCCTCTCTCTCCCTGCTTTCATAACCAGCTTCTCTCCAAAGTTGTTACAGGTTAATGCTTGGCACTTTGAGGCTTGGCTGTTCTGGAGCAATCAGTTGAACAGTCTCTGGCACAGAGTGGCTGGAGACAGGGAGTTTGCCAAAGCATTTGCTGCCTTGCCTACAGAAATACCCTGGAATCTGCTTACTTTGGTGCAACTTGAGTTTTCATGACACAAAGCCCGTTTCCTGTGTTGATGTTGGCAGGTTTTGGGTGGGTGTAAACTTGCCTTTTTTTGTAGAGTTGGCTTTATTCCCCAAGTCTTTGTCAGGTTTTGGAAGTTAAAAAGGTGTTGTGTTTTTGGAAGCAAGAACTGGCTATTTTAATTACCGTCTGCAGTTTCCAAACTTGCTGGGCACAGTTAATGAACATTAAAATTCAGGCTTTAACCTTCATCTAATGAGAGGGGCTGTGGAGGTAAGGCACGGGTCACCTTCTGGCTTTCGTGCKGCTTGTTTCATCCAAATTTGACGTCAAGCAAGTTGCAATTCATCCTCCTGCACTTGCATTAACACGCCAATTAAATGGGCTCTGTTTGCTGCTCCAGTGAGTTCCTTGCTGATGGAATATGCAGATAAATCTTCCTCAGAGGCTGCAGGCAGCACTTTTGGGAGATGCTGTTGGATCAGCCGCTTCTCCGGCTGGCAAGGTGGATACTCCTGGCAAGGTGGATACTCCTGGCAAGGTGGAAGGGGCTGATTTGGGGTTAGAGGCTGAAGCTGTGCCTGTTGTCCTGCCCTGCAGACACCCTGGTGGCAGTGCTGGAGAGGGACACCCTGGGGATCCGGGAGGTTCGCCTGTTCAATGCCGTGGTGCGCTGGTCGGAGGCCGAGTGTCAGCGGCAGCAGCTCCAGGTGATTCCAGAGAACAAGCGGAAGGTTCTGGGCAAAGCTCTCTCCCTTATCCGCTTCCCACTGATGACTATTGAGGAGTTTGCAGCAGGTAACTCTACAAAGGTGTTTCAACCAATCCTGGTCTTTGCTTTTCCTCAGCTACAGAGAGTCAAGTCACATGAAAGTGGATTTTCTTTGTGTATCCTGTAGTRATTTAAATATGAGATTCCCCAATGTTCCTCCCCATTTTCTCCCATCCTCCCCCTAAAAGGGGYTTGATTGGATAAAGAGATAGATTGGATAAGGGTGTGAGGCTCTGGTACAGRTTTCCCWGAGCAGCTGTAGCTGCCCCATCTCTGGCAGTGTCCAAGSCCAGGATGGAYRKGRCTTGRAGCACCCTGGGACAGTGGGAGGTGTCYCTGCCCATGGCAGAGGGTGGCACTGGATGAGCTTTAAGGTCCCTTCCAACCCAAACCATTCTGTAATTTATGATTATAAAATGTACTCTCTAAATGCCATTTTCATCCATGCCCTTTCACTGGTTTTAAAGCCTGTGGTGCCCCCCTGGGAGGAGCCAGGGGGATCAAAGCTGTGTTTGCTCTCACAGCACAGTTGGGTGGTTACCATCCTGTCCATCTGAGAGCAAAAATCCAAACTGGGGTTCACCTGTCCTTTCCAACCATCCTGAGCATTTAAACTACACAAAGCTTGATGGAGTTGGAAATAATTGGTGTTCATCGTATCCTGTTCCCAGGGAGAAATGGGGATGTTTCTCCCCATCCTGTCTGTGATGCAGTGGTGAAGTTGGCCCTGACTTGCTGATGCTGTTCATTTCAGAAAAGCTTTGAAAATGTTCTTTGAGCTGAAGGTTTGGTGTTGTTTAGTCTGTGTCTCAAAGCGTTTTTCAAGTTTACATTAAGATCTTGATCTGCAGAGATGTCTAACTCATTTCACAGCTTGGACTATAGATTGCTTTGTTTTGTTTTCCTTGCCTGTTGTCTTTGACTTCATCCTCTGGTGATTCCCCAGGGACTGGGGAGCTGGCAATTGGCTTAAATAGTTTTCATGCTGAAAAGACACAGTGGAGCCATTTTCCAAACTGCARCTTGTTTTAGGCTGCAGTGCTGTGTACACAGAAGCAAACAGGGGCACTGACCCCCTTCCTTTGCAGGTCACTTCTCAGGGCAGTGCTGGCGTCAGCTGGTCAGTCCTTAATGTCCCTGTTCCCACRTGAGGAGGGCTGTTAGTAAGGAGTGAATCTGTGCTTCAGACATGGTCCCCACTCTCTGTTTGGCTGTCACAGCTGTCATGTGGCTTTAGGGATGTGGATTTCATCAGAAGGTGCTTGCTCAGGGATGCAGAGATCTTGCATTTTTCTGTAGATCCCATTTCTTCCAAGCCTTCCTTTCAGTCTTGTATCATCCTCTCACTGGGAGGGAGGTGTTATTTTTGGCATTTTGAGCTGGGAATGCCAGTGCCCCTTGCCATGTYRTCTGACACAAACTGCCTGTCCCAAYTGGCCCTTTGTGCTTTAAGAGAAATTCTTACGTTTTCTCATCCACTTTAACCTAAAAGATGAACAAAACTCCCAAACCTGAGGGGCTGTGATGATCAGCCATTCCTTAAACAAGGAATGAACATGGAATTCCTTCAGCTTTGTCCTTTTTCTGAGTTTCTGAGTGACTCTGATTTCTTTGGTGATCACAGCAGAGACTGGAGAGGGAAACCTTTCCCCTCCACACCCCTTTCCCAAAAGCCAAAAAAAAGGRGGTTTTACAGCAGTGGTTTCACCAGTTTATTGTATAATCTGGTATCAAATGTGGGGTTTTGCATGAAGATGTTTTAACTGGCAAATGGGTCCCTCCCTCCCCTCAGAGCAGGTAATTTTAGACATTGCAGAAGTGAGTTGTAGCAACAGGGGATAAGTTCAGACATGATCAATGAGGCTGATTTTTTGCTGAGCAAATTTTCCCAAAGCTCATTTACCTGTGAGCAGTCGACTTCCTTGAATTCTTGAGTCTTTCCCCATTATGGCATTGGACCATGCTATGTCTGGGTAATTTATGCTGAATTTAACCAGCTACAAGTAGTTCTGGACTTAAAAATAGCTGGGCATTTACTCCTCACATTAAAGAGCATTTAACTGCTGTTGTTGCCCCAGTACCAGTGGTCTTGTTTCTGTTCAAAGCCTTGTGCAAACAGGGGTAAAGAGAGGCTTTTGAATCTTAGTTTTTATCCAGTTTCACTTTTGAAAGTATTTGAAGTAGTTTGCAAAGATTGAGTTTAGCATTGCTGAGTTGGTTGCCCAGAGCAGCTGTGGCTGCCCCTGGATCCCTGGCAGTGCCCAAGGCCAGGCTGGACATTGGGGCTGGGAGCAGCCTGGGACAGTGGGAGGTGTCCCTGCCATGGCAGGGGTGGCACTGGGTGAACTTTTAAGSACCCTTCCAACACAAACTGTGCTGTGATTCTGTGATCACTTTGGAAAAAATGTCTTGTTACTGGAGAAAAGATGAGAACATTCTCCAGCTCTTGATAAAATCATTAGCGTTTTTCCCAAGGTTCTTCAGTAAAGGTATTAAAATGGGAAATGTGGATTAAATGCCTGAGGGAATGAGCTGAACCACCTTTGTCTTGAGTAAAAATACTCTTAAACTTTTTGAGTTGACTGTAACTGGGGGACAGTCCCTATCCCTACCCGTCATGGGCTTCCATCATGCCTGAACCACCAGATGTGGATGTAAGGAAATCCCTGTCTCTGACCAATATTATCATTTCCAGAGGGGTGGAGCAAGGATCACCTGCATGCTTTTGGGTGTTTTTGGTAGCCCACTGCATTTGGGCTCCACGGAGACAGGCACTTAATCACAGTTCCATGTTCCATGGAGGCTCTATAGCCCATGACTGCATGTGGATAAAGGGCAGCACCTTTGTTTGGGGTTTAATGTCCTCATGTGCCACTGGGACCCCATCTATGATGAGGGTTTTGCYTGCTCCCAGCTGCAAGTCAGGCTTGTTTCTCCATGAGGATCCCAAAGGGGTCCCTTCTGGTTGTGCAGTTTTGGGCACCATGAGATCAGGAGGATCTAAAGCTGTTGGAGAGTGGCCAAAGGAGGGACACAGAGCTGGGGAAGGGTCTGAGGAGCGGCTCRGGGCTCTTGGCTTGTTCAGCTGGAGCAGAGGAGACTGAGGGGAGACTCCTCGGGGGCTGCAGCTCCTCCCGAGGGGAGGCGGAGGGGCAGGGGCTGAGCTCTGCTCTGGGACAGGGGCAGGAGCCCAGGGAAYGGCTGGAGCTGTGTCAGGGCTTGGGATGGATCTCAGGGAAAGGTTCTTCTGTCCCCAGAGGGTGCTGGCACTGCCCAGGCTCCCCAGGGAATGGTCCCRGCCCCGAGGCTGCCAGAGCTGCAGGAGCGTTTGGACAGCGCTGCCAGGGATGAACAGGGTGGGGTTGTTGGGGGGTCTGGGCAGGGCGGGGGGGTGGGATTGATGATCCCTGAGGGCCCCTTCCAGATGAGGATATTTTGTGCTCTCTGCTTCCCAAAGGCTGACAGTGTCACCACTTTCCTCCCCTCTGCAGGGCCGGCRCAGTCGGGGATCCTGACGGACCGGGAGGTGGTGAGCCTGTTCCTGCACTTCACCGTGAACCCRAAGCCGCGGGTGGAGTTCATTGACCGGCCCCGGTGCTGCCTGCGGGGCAAGGAGTGCAGCATCAGCCGCTTCCAGCAGGTGGAGAGCCGCTGGGGGTACAGTGGGACGAGTGACAGGATCAGGTCAGCTCCCGCGCTCGTCCTGCACCCCTGGATTCCTGTTCCTGATCTTTCCACTGCTTTATCTCTGAACCCCCAAAATTCTGTGCTAAACCCGACCTCCCATTGTGTAAACCCTAAAGGGAAGGTGTTTTGCTAGGCAGAACCATCCCCCAATTCTCCAACCTGCATTTTGCAACACTTTGCATCTCTRCTGGCAAAGGTTTCCAGCAGACATGGCCCCCCAGCACAGGCCTCTGGAACAGGAAGGAAATAACCCCCTCCAAAGGTTTCCTGCAGCTATAGGGGCACATAAATAAGGAGTCATCAGCTGTCCCTCCCTTGCCTGGGGGACTGGTAACCAGTGCTCCATCAACCCTCAGCACCAGGTCCCCTGCCCTAAGTGTGGCTTGTTGAAGCCCCTTAACTTCTCCTTTGTGAGGGAGGGGTTGGGATAAAGCTCTGCTGACACCCAGTTTGTCCAGTCCTGAGCTTGTGAAAAAGCAGCAGAGCCCAGTCATGATGACAGGGACTGGCAGGTGTGGCTGGCACATGGTGCTTGGCAATGTTTGTGTGGCCAAGGAATGAGAGCAAGACAGGAGGGAATTGCAAAGCCTTGGTTCTTTCCTGATTCCTGTTTCTCTTGGCTGGAAGGGGCTTCCCAGGAGTGCAGCTCTTCACAATTTTTGASATGGTTCTGGTGCACTGGCTCTGTGCTTGGATCCTCTGGTCCATTCACCCCTGGCAGCAGTTCCTGCTGCCAGCTCCAAACACTTCCTGCTCTCACCTCTAACACTCACAGACCTTTTGGAGCTTGGGTTTGACTTTGGGTTCAGCCTCTGCAGCATCAGGGTCAGTTCCAACACTGAATATTCCATGCTGGCTGCAGAGCAGARACTTCCAGCCTGCCCCAGGTGTTTGTTCTGGAAACAAAACAGGGCTAAAGGAGTTGGTGGACAGGTGAAGAAATGCTCTTGGCAGCCTGGCAGGCACTGAGGCTCCTGCTGCCTGAGAAGGTGGAGCTGTATTGGGGTAAATATCCTTCCCCTTCTTCCCTGGGCAGGGAATCCTGCACTCAGGAGTGACTGAAGCCTTATTTCTGCTCTTGATAAATTTGAAGTGAACAACTGCCCAGGGCTCAGCAGTGAAATACCCAGTGACACTTCAGTGGTGTTTGATAGACAGTCCGGGGTGAGGTGGGTACTGTTCCACATTCCCAGGCTGCCCTCCCTGRGGGTGCTGATGTTTTACCACAACCTGGAAACATTTTCTGAACCTGGACTCTGAAATTTGGTGATGGCATTATGCAGCTTTTTGTTTCACACGAGCCCACCGGGCCAGTGAGGGTGTGAGTGTGCAGCTGATCGTTTCTGTGCAGGGTTTCAGCTCTTAAATCTGTGTAGATTTGATTAAATCATAGGTGTAAAATCTAACACAAGTGAAGATATTTGTGTATCAGCCTTGTGCTGAAGCAATACAGGAGTGGCAAGTTGGGACTGACTTCTGCTCTGTTCTTGCAGGTTCTCAGTAAACAAAAGGATATTTGTAGTTGGGTTTGGATTATACGGATCCATACACGGGCCAACGGATTACCAAGTAAATATACAGGTAATTCTCTCCACTGCCTTAAAAATCCTGGCTGTTTTGGGGGCTGACAAATACATTTGAGTGAATCTGTAACAAAATCTGAAGTTCAGAGGGACTCTGTGTGTGTCCCTGGGCAGGGGGGCTGGCAGATGCAGTGAGGGCCAGATGGGGCACTGGGGATSAGAAGGATTATTGCTCTTGATTTTRCTGCACACGTCAGTGCAGCATCTCCCCAGGCCTGCTCCTGGCTTTGGGAATACCTCTGGGGCAGTTGGGAGGCAGTTTGGGAAGAGGCTGTGTGTGATTTCCCACCCTGAGCAGGCTGGGGGAGGCTCAGCTGTCTCAAGTCCGTTGTGATCTTGTTCAGTGACCAGGGTGGCTCCCGTAGATCCCTTGTCCCTGTTCTGGGTGCACATGTGTCACCCCAGACTGGGTCACTGCAGACTCTCCCCAGGAGAGTTCCTGCGAGGAGCAGAGTCTGTTAGCATTTCTTCCCTGATGGTCAGGGCTCCTCCTGCTGAGCTGCTGGGGGAGGAAGATCTAAGCAGTGTGGRCCTGCAGTGCTCTGCCAGCCTGGGCACTGGGTGTCCTGGGCTGCCTGGGGTCTGAGCCCACAGCTCTGTGTGAGTTCAGAGGGGCCCAGAGCAGCTGTGGCTGCCCCATCCCTGGAAATGTTCAAGGCCAGGACAGGACTTGGAGCAGCCTGGGATAGTGGGTGGCATCCCCCATGGCAGGSGGATTAGAGATGGGTAATCCTTGGGGTCYCTYCCAACCCAAACCTGGRATTSTGTGGGTCTGGGATTGTGTGGGTCTGGGATCACAGCACTGACGAGGGATGTGAGTTATGGGCAGTGCAGTCATCACAGGGCTGCTCAGTGGGAGTGCCTGGGGCTCAGCCCAGCTCAGGGACACACACGTGGGCAGGGCTGGCAGCGCTCTAACCCTGCAGATGACAGGCTGACCCTGTGTTGCAGATCATCCACACAGACAGCAACACAGTCCTGGGGCAGAACGACACCGGCTTCAGCTGTGACGGATCGTCCAACACCTTCCGCGTCATGTTCAAGGAGCCTGTTGAGATTTTACCCAACGTCAACTACACAGCCTGTGCTACTCTAAAGGTACCACACGGGGTGGGYGGGGKGSAGGCAGCTCAGGGCACCTGCTTTAGGCCTTCAGGGGGCTGTGCTCTTTGTCCTTTGAGGCTGGTGGTGCAATCTCCAAGTTCTCTGTGATCCTTCACGTGGTGCTGCCATGAGCTCGTTCACCACCAGCATTCAGAGCTGGTTTTTGACTTCTCACAGTACTGAACAGATGTTTCACTGAGGAGGGGATGGGTGATTTTTCAGTGTGTCCAGCTGAGCTGTCACTTCTGCAGATGTGTAATCCTGAGTCTCTGCAGTGGCCTCAAAAAGTTCCTATTTGGCTGTTGAGATCTGGTTAAATTAATGTTAAGTTCTGATAGAGATGAGATTGAGCTCAGCATACCTGCGGTACAAGTGCAGGGGGAAAGGGAGGAACTGAGATCTCCAAAACTCCAAACCCACCAGACAGCGTGGGCAGCAGCAGGGTCCTGACCTGTYCTTGTCTTCCGTGACCCCCACAGGGTCCAGATTCCCACTATGGAACCAAAGGACTGCGCAAAGTGATCCATGAATCACCAACAACGGGAGCCAAAACCTGCTTTACGTTCTGTTACGCGGCTGGGAACAACAACGGCACCTCCGTGGAGGATGGACAAATCCCAGAGATCATCTTCTACACATAGTGCCGCTGCCCAGCCAGCCCCGGACTCGACTCTGCCCCGTCACCTCCCAAACTAAATCTCTGGCTGAGTTTGACCACACCGATTGGAGCCACACTAGCCAAAGGTCTCAGTGAAATCATTTCAAAGCTCATGTTCTGCCTTGTGCTAGTGCTGCTGCTGCTCTCAGGTGCCAGGTGAGCTGGTGTCCCAGTGCAGGCCAGCTGGTGTCCCAGTACCATTCGTAGGTTGTCTGTGGCTTGTTGTTTTTCACCTCCTGATTAACCCTATCTAACAACGTGCRTTTTTTGGACTGTAATGAATGTAGATGCTTTTCCACCAGTCAGAARCGAGGCAACGAGTGGCTCTGGGTGTGGTTTCACTTGCCATGAGGAGATGATCCTGCAGACAAACATGGTCAGGGCTGGGTGGCCCCTGCTGTGCTCCAGCTCAGCAGTCCAGGTCAGACTGCAGGGCTTGGCCAGCCCATGTCCGGCACCCTCCCTCCCTCCCTCCCTCCCAGCAGCCTCAGCACATGCAGCCGCCTTCAAGTCATGGGAAGTGGCCTTTTCCCTGAGGCTTTGCTGTTCAGCACTACACAGGCTTGAGGGACACCTCAAACCTGAGCTCCTGCAGAGGGACCGCGGCGTTTTCCTGCTCTTCTCACCGACCTGTGACAATCTTCACCTCRGCCAGTTGGTGACAGCGAGGTGACCTCCCTGTGGAGTGGGGAGGGGCAGCAGCCTGGCCGGGCAGGTCCTCCTGCATTTGAGTCCCCATGGTGCTGCTTCCAAACCCCTGGCACGTTCTGGGTGCTGGGTGATGCTSGGCTCAGCCCTGAGCAGCCCCAGCTCTGGCTGTTACTGGTCATTGTCCTCTGCACAGTGCCAGGGTGTGTCAGTTGAAGCAGAAGGGCACCTGCCTCACCTGTTCCTGGGCATTCCTGCAGTTTCCATGCACGTTTCCATGCGTTTCCCTCTGTTCCTGTGCACTGCTGCCCCRCCCCTGCTGCCCTGATGGAAGCAGGAAGAGAGGCTGGACGTGCCTGTTCCCTGACARTGCAGCAGATGGAGCAGGATTTACCGAACGGTTCAGGAAAATATGGGATGTTCTCTGTGCTGCTGTGTGTTTGCACAGTGCCTGTTTGGCCAGGCCCAGGAGGGAGATCACAACCACCACCTGCTGAGCTGTGGAGCTCAGTGACCTTGAAGACACCCCCTGTACCCGTTCAGCCCGTGGCTGTCACAGAGTGGGTGGATGGTCCTGGGCTGCCTGACCAGCCCCACCCTCACTGCCCACGGGTGAAGACAGCGAGACTCTTCCTCCCCTGCTCTGCTGAGGAAGCTGGAATTAAGGCTGGCAAGGAGACTGGAGTCTGCTCGGGACTGCCTGGGGTGGTGGTGCCTCAGAGCCCCTTCTCTGACCTCCTGCTCCAGCACTTGGAGACGTTGCCACCCTCTGTGCAACTGCTGCCACTGGATTTCACTGCTGGAAGTTGAAACCTGGTCGTCCTTGGCTGGAGCAAGGCTTCTCCTCCTCCTGTTGGCCCAGCTGGGATCCTRGGGCTGTGCTGCCCGGAGTCTCCTCCTCCAGCAGCCCCCTGGGAACRCCCTGCACCTCCTCACCAGTAGCTGTTTGAGATGTCCAGAGTGTGTTCTGTGCCCCAGGGAGATGGTGTGAGCTGTGTATTGTCAGCCTGCACCAGGGTGGGATGGTTCTAATATGGCCAGTACTGAAAAAAATAGAAAAGAAACCCCCAGCCCTGGGTCCCTGAGTTGGTGCTGAGCCCAGCTCTGTGCAATGCACGCAGTGCTGTGAGATGGATTCACAGCCCAGGCTCTGTGTCCAGTGGGATGTCCCTGACTCTGTCCGCCCCTCTCACTGCTGGCACGCAGGGTCTGCGCCTTCCCCAGGGAGTCTGGTCTGGGTTCTGCACCTTGGGGTGCCAGGTACAGGTGGAAATAGTGGAATAATTGGAATTTGAGAGAAGCAAAGCTGTGCACTTGGCTCTGGGAAGAGCAGGGCTGGGGCTGGCCCTGCCCAGCCGCAGCGGGTGCCTCCCGCTGGCTCTTCCCTGGAAGTTCTGTTCTCATTATTTTGTTACGTGAATTCTCTTCCCCAGTCCCACCTTCCTGCCCTCCCTGCATGGGGCAGGTCTGGCAGCTCGTCCTGTCACAGAGGGAGAGGAGTCAAACTCTGAACTACACCTGAGCAACTTCTGTTCTTACGGCTTTTCCGCAGTTTGATGCAATTCTGGCTTTTGTAGATAGATGAATGTAATTCCTTGTTGGACATGCCTGTTCCCAAAAGTATGAGCCATTCTGTTGTACCACGTCACCTTCCGAGCAGAGCAGGCCCAGCCCGGCTCCTGTGCTATTTGATGAATGTATCCAATGCTCTCGTCCCGTGTTCACACTCTGCTTTTGGCCAGCTTTGTGATTTGTAAATAGGAAAACAATAAAGACATCCAGGTTGTCTTTATGRAGTTTCTTGGTGATTGGAGGAGAGGGATGGCCACTGGAATGGTGGAGGGAAAATCTGGACCCAGCCRAGGGCATCCCCATCCATGGGGTGTGGGATGAGCTGGATCCTCAGGAATCCCCAAGCAAGGAGTCAGTGCTGGGGAGCCCAAACCCTTGGGGTATGAGGGGRTGGTGGGTGGGTCCTCTCTGATCGGTGTGATGTCATTTTATAACTGAATTTCTTGAACCCTAATTGGAGGCTTTTGACAAACTCACTAAAAGCTGTCTCAGCCTTTGCAGGGGCCAGTCCAGGCTATGGGGTGAAAGGCAGCTCCTCTGCCCTGTGAACCTCAGCTGTGGGGGCTGGATGAGGGAGCCCCCAACAAAAACCGGGTGCTTGGGCAGTGTTCCCTCCCTTGAGAGCCACACAATGAAGCACAGAAGAACGGGTTGGGTTTTAAAGATTTTTTTAATTTTTTTTTTTTTTATTAAAAAAAAAGCCCCTAAATTCTATGGCTTCCAGGAAGCATCAGAGAAATTGAAATGCCGTTTCTGTACACTTGGTTTTAAAGCAGTAACTAAACTCGCAATGGAACAAACGCTCTCACGTACAATCGCAGTATTTGGACTCCTCGCTGGAAGGACAGAGAGTCCCGGGCTCGGGCCACAGCCCCGGCGGCCGAGGGTGCGTGCACAGAACCGGGCACACCCTCGTGGCCGCGTCCCTTCCCCTCCGCGGCTCCTCTTCGGCCTCCCCCGGGGCTGCTCTGAGCCGACGCGCTGACAAGGGGCCACTTCCAGTGAAAATTTTAAGGCGATTTTAAAAATTCGTTTGTTCGCCTCGCTGGGGACACGAGGTCAAACGTTGCACGTCCCCTTCCCGCCGCGACCAGGGACGCAGCAGCGGCTGGGGCTGCCCTGGCTGCCGCAGCCCGGACGAGCCAAAGCCGGGGTCAATCCCGAATTTAGGATGAAGAGGCGCCCTGGCACAGTGCCCTCCCCAGGGCCCCACGGGAGACCCCCACGCCCCGCCAGCCCCTCCACAATCCGGGCCTCCAGCCCCCCCCGAGATGGTCAGTTTGGACAAATGTTTCGAAGCAGCCACAGATGGTCCCATCCCTCCCCCGCCCCCCCAGCACAGCCTCAGCCCCTCTCTTGGGGCAGAACAACAGGGTTTTGGTAAAGATAAGTGTGTGTCCCCCCCCAAAGTGTCACGATCAATACACACGACAGCGCACGGGGTCARTCAGGTGGGGAGCTGCAGTGCCCTGGGGGTGGCGAGGAGCAGGGGGGTGTGGGGGTGTCTGTGTGTGTCAGTTCCAAAAACTCCATTTCCCCTGACCCGGGGCAGGTGGGGCCCCGGATTGCGGGAGGGTCCCACGGTGGGAGGGTGCCATGGTGGGGGTTCCACGCTGGCAGAGCCGCTCCACCCCGACGCCCTTCCCTTCCCCGCCCTGCCCGGCCCGGTCCCGGCCCCTCGGGAGCAGCCGCGGGGCCTCGGGGGGCTCGGGCTGTAAAACCACGAGGCCGATCAAGCGCTGCCCCTGCCCGCACCTRCAGCTGTCGTGGAAACATCCAGCCCCAAGACACGGCAGCACCAGAGACGAGGCTGCTTTGCYCCCCCTCCCTGCTCTGCCACCGCCATTCATGGGTCCCTTTGGTCTCGGCCGTCCCTGTCCCTGTGTCCCCCAACCCTGGGAGCCTCGGACCTGCTCCCGGCGGGACCGGACGGCGCCTGTATTGCTCGCAAAAGTGCATCGTAAATGAACTGTAAACGCGTTTCCTCTCCCCGCCCCGCACGCCCCCGGCTCTCCCCGCCCGACCGGGGCCGGACCGGAGCCCAACGCTCGTCACTGACCGAGGGGGACCCGGCGGGGGATGCGGGGCGGGGCCGGAAGGAAGAGCAGAATTCGGTAACACTGAAGATGACGGTCAAAGACTGACGACTCAGCACTCTGCACCGAGACTCACTTTAAATTAACTTAAGAGACAAAGAAGCAACAGAAAAAAAAATATTCCTCCTTAGCCCACTGCTCTCGAAATTGTCTTCGTCTTCTTCTGACAGCGACGGGTCAGAGTCTGTAGTTGATCCCCATTTCAGACCGGTTATAAACTCAAAGCAAGTGACGTCGTGGGTTTGTTTCTCTTTTATCTTTTTTTCTGTTTGACGGACGCAGGAACTTCAGCGAAGTTGGGCTTGGTTCGAGTAAACGGCCACGAGTGGCGGAGGAAAGGACAAGCAGTTTGGGGAGGCCCCGCTCCCCACCTGCGCGTGGGGCGCTGGGGGAGCCCGTCCGGCCCGGCCCCCCCGTCCCCGTCCAGCCCGAGGGGCCGTTGGCTCCGCGGGTCAAGATCCAGCCACGGCCAGAGGGAGAGGAGCCATCGCTCGCCGCTCCGCCCGGCCCCGGCAGCTCACTTGCGACGCTTGGTGGTTTTCCTCTTCCTTCTCTTGAAGAAACAGCAGCACCTGGGGATAGAGGGGATCCATCAGCACCTGGACCGGGGCATGGAGGGTGCAGGGGGGGCACCGGGGTCAGGGGGGACAGAAACCCCTTGGTGCCTTAGTGAGCCCCATGTGGGCAGAGCCACTCTGGGAAGTGCCCCTGGTACGTGGCAGGGGCTGGGCCAGGAGCACCACAATGGCCACCAAAAGTGACACCTGCCACAGCAAGTGGCACAATGGTGACTGACACTGGCCATGGCACACAAGGGCAGCCACGTGGCCAGAGCCAGGGCCAGGCAGGGCCTCCAGAGAAGGAGCAGATCCCTCCATGCCCCTTGGGCAGGAGCCTTGGGCAGGGCGAGGTGGAAAAGGCTGGGGGTGGTGGTGGCCCTGCAGGGACATCACTCACAGGGTGCCAGGGGACAGCTGGGCTGTTCCTCCCTGGAGGGCACCAGACAGGGCACCCCAGGGCAGCTGCTGACCCCTCCTCCAGCCCAGCCCCAGCTAGAGGGCAGCGGGGCTGGGGTCTTACTTTGTATCGTCTGTCACCTCCACCTCGGTGGGGGCTGTGATGGGGGCGTTCGAATGTCCTGCCGTCGGGTCGTCTGTGTTCAGCTCTCCATTGGTGGAGCTCATCACCTGGGGAGACACGAGAGTCAGCAGGGGCAGCCCGGGGGTCTGCAGCCCTTCCCCTCCCCACAGAGCAGAAGAGCCGCCCCAGAGCCCACCTGGCTCTGCCCGGGAGCACCAAGGTGCCCTCGGTGGCAGGACAGTGCCCCTGCCCAGCCTGGTGCTCGGCCTCGGTGCTGAGCTCTCCCCAAGAGCCCCATTGCACAGAGAGGGCTGAGCCTCTTGGCCACAGCCCCAGGAGGATCCCAGCTCCTGGGAGCCCCTGCACATCCCACCAGGAGAGGGCCATGCTGCAGCCAGCTCCAGCATGGGCAGAGAGYCGACAGCTCCAAAGAGCCCTTCCCACAGCTCAGCATCCGGACACGACTTCTGCTTCCTGGCCCCAAGACTCAGCCCTGTGCCCGCCCTGTGGGCTCAGGTGTCCCTGAGCTCCTGCCCGCTCACCAGGGCAGCAGGGTRAGCCACAGTGCCGGGGCCAGGAGGACATCGAGTCACCAAAGCCACCAGGAGGTGCCTGAACGGCCATCCTGTGCCTGCTGCCCACAGGCAAAGCCAGGAGCTCCCTGGGGACGCACTGGCCAAACTCTTCAAGCTGTTTGGCCCCGGCCAGGAGCCTCAGCCTCTCACAGCCCCATGGAAGAGCTGCCATCCCAGTGCCCAGCCAGCAGGRCCATGTCAGGCTGCAGTCCCCAACACCAGCACGGAGAGCCCTGCTCGTCACCCCCGCGGTGCCGGCACAGGCGGAGCGGGCAGGAGGGTTTGCAGAGCAGAGCGGGGAGCGGGGAGGGATGAGGGACAGGAGGAGCGGGGCAGAGCATGAGTGGGTCCCTTAGAGTGCCCGGCCCCACAGCCTGCCTGGCAGCACCGAGTGCCCGGCCCTGTGACCACAGCAGCAGGAGCTGTGTCCAAGCCCCGAGCCGAGCATCAGCAGAGTCACTGAGAGCAGCAGGAACGAGCAAGAGCGGCGGGAACGGAAGCAGAGACAGAGGAAGCAGTGCAGGCCCAGCCGGGGGACCCAGCTTGGATGTCCCACCATCCACGCGGGAGGGACCCCCAGGCCGAGGGGAGCTGAGCGGCAGCGGGCGGGAGGCGGCGAGGGCGGCGAGCACGGGGCTGACGGTGCGAGCACAGGACCAAGGCAGGACCGAGGAACACGAACATGGCCAAGGAACGCCCGGGAAGGGAGGGGAAGCAGGGCCTGGAGCCTGGACTCCAGTCAAGGAGGTGCAGGGAAGTCCCTGCTCAGACGAACAGCACTGGGGGCAAACAATGCCCACCCAGCTGCCATGCTGCAGCATGGCATCCATCCATCCATCCATCCATCCATCCATCCATCCATCCATCCATCCATCCATCCATCCATCTCTGTTTGTCCATCCATCCATCCATCCATCCATCCATCCATCCATCCATCCATCCATCCATCCATCCATCCATCCATCCATCCATCCATCTCTGTCCATCCATCCATCTCCAACTGCCCTCTAATTCCCCCTGGCAGCCCCGGGAAGCAGCACCAGCCTCGCCTGTGAGCCGTGAGCGTTCCTGGCACCACGGGGACGGGCAGCACGTGCTGCAGCCGGGGCAGGAGCCCGGGATGTGCAGCCCTGGGGCGGGGGAGCGGGGCTGATCCCCAGGGTGGCTCCGCTCCCTCCCGCTCCCGCCCTGCCCCAGGCGCGTGGTTTCATGTACCTGCACAGACCCCCCGAGCCTGCCGGCTGCCAGGTGAGCTCCCAAAGGCTCCTCGGCAGGCTGCCCACCGGCCTGAGGATCCCACAACTCCGTCCCCTCGGGCGGCTGCTCGCGACAGGCAGGAGGAACAGAATGAAAAGAAACAAAAGAAAAGAGGGAGAATGGGGAAGAGAACGGAGAAGTGGAGGGAAGGGGCGGCAAAAGTGGCAAAGGGAGTCGAGAAAATAAGACATGCAAAAGCAAAAACATGACCRGAGCAGCTCGAGTTGGTGATTGCAGAGGGCACCAGTGCAGCACCGTCCCGGTGGCTCCCAGAGCGGTCCCTGCGGTGACAACRGGGGTCTGTGTCCCCCTGCCACCTCCACACACACCCCTCCACGGCTAGCCYCATGCAGGGCCACCCCACGGAGCAGGGCCAGCCCCAGCAGGGCTGGTGGCCGTATTTGGGAGCGGACTGGGGCAGCAGAGCCGGAGCCACAGCCGGGCCAGGTGACGCCGTGTCCCCAGGGCTGCGTGGCTCTTGGTGTGGCCTGAGCTGTGCTGTTCCTCCAGGGCACAGCTGCCCCACAGCCAGCCCCTCCCCGGTGAGCACAGCACTTCCCCATGGCTGCAGAGACACCCTGTGTCCCCAGGCTGGACACGGCTCCCACACTCCAGGAGCTCTGTGCKCTGGAGAAGGGATGTCCAACATGGCATTTCCCCGTGCTGGGGRCAGAGAGCAGACCCTGCTGGGAGTGAGTTTCCAGAAATGAGCCAGAGGTGATTTGAAGATATGTCCCTCCCTCTAATGAAGGGCTGCCAGTGAGAGCCAGGGCTGTGCCAGGCTGGCTGTGCTGGGCAGGAGCAGCCTGGGGAAGACAGGGCATTGCAACCCTGGCTCCAGCCCCTTTGCAGRTGCTCTGCCCCCAGGGAGGTTCGGGAGGATGAAGGTCTATACAGGACTGATGGGAATGCATGAGGTTTGCCCTCGGTGGCAGCAGTGCCAGAGCCACATGTCCTGTGCCAGGTCAGGACAGGCCACAGCACTGGAGCAGCTCTGGGCAGCCCGTCCCCTTCCCCACACAGCTCTGGGCTCGGCTCCCCATGCCCCGCCTGTTCCCAGAGCAGGGGCAGCCCCAGCACGGAGCAAAAAGCTACCCCAGCAATCCTGCCCTGCCCTGTCCCATGTCACTGTCACTGTCACTGTCYCATYCATGGAARGGCACCACAGAGCAGAGTCACTCCATGGGGACACGGCGCTGGGGACATCATCATGGCTCAACCTGCACCAAGCCCTCACCCAGCACCCCAGGCTGGACCCTGCCCCTCACCAGCTGATGCCCAGGCCTGGCATCCCCCAGTCGTGGTACAGCCCCCATGATGCTTCCTCCCTCTTCTGCCACTGCCCTGGGCCTCCAGCGTGCCACAGACCCAGAGMTGACCCAGAGCTGCAGGAGGGAACTCTTGCCACAGACAGCACTGACGGAAAATGATGCTCCAGTCCTGCCTCCATCCCTGTTGGGCTCCGGTCCCTGGAGCTGCAGCCTGAGCTGCCCACACCCATGGCCCCGTGCCCCAGCTGGGCAATGCCAGTGCTCACCTGGTGTTTGGTGTGTGGCTGTGCTTTGTCTCTGTTCGGGGGCTGCACCTGCACCTCGCTGTGCATCGTGCCAATGGGGGTGGGCTGGGGACACAAGGACAATGTCAGCACAGCACRGAGCCCTCCCAACACCCCCCGGCCAGAGCCAACCTCCAGCCAAACATGAAAAATCCCCCAGAACCAGGGCCTGATCCAGCCCCTACCTCACCCCAGCAGCTCCACACTCGCTATCTGGCTGCAGTGAGCCCATGGAGGGTGCCCATGGCAGAAAGGGAGGTGCCAGCCTGGCTGCTGGGATCTCCTTGGCTCCAGGAGCCTCMAATTCCCATGTCACAGCCTTAACCCAGCCTGGAGCTGGTGACTGCTGAGGAGGGTGGAGCTGATGCCTCGGGCACAGTGCATGGCAGGAAGGGCTGAGAGCCACATTCTCCCTGGCTGCTGCCACCAACCCCCCTGCCCTGCTCCCTGGGGTCCCTGCCCCRCTGCCCCAGGCCCTCAGCACTCACCAGAGGTTTCCCTGCCCAGTCGTATTCRTAGTCGAACACGTAACCGTTCCTCTCGAACAAATCTGTGAAGAGCTTCCTCAGGTAGTCATARTCAGGCTTCTCGAAGAAATCCAGCCTCCGCACGTAGCGCAGGTACGTGGCCATCTCCTCTGCGGGGACACGGGGCTCAGCGGGGCAGGGGATGGGGGCTCAGGGCTGGGGCTGGGCTGGGCTGGGGAGCGCTCTCACCTGGGAAGTTCTCACAGAGCACCTCCACCGGGGTGGCTCTTTTGGTGTCMCCAATCTTCTGGTACCTCTCCTTTAGCGTGTCAGCCTGGTGGGGACAGGAGGGTCAGCGCGAGGGCCAGGCACCGCCCCAGGGGAGGGGAAGGTACTGGGTGCTGTCACAYGGTGTCTCATTTCTTGGAGCCCCCTTCCCAGGGAACTCCTTCCCAAGGAACCCAGGGAATTCCCCCACCAGGGCAGGTCTGGAGGACAAAGCCCAGGGTTCCAGGACAGCCACTGTGAGAGCAGCTGGGACCTCCACCGAGTAGGGGACAGAGGGACACCTGCATGGCACAGCAAGGACCTTGCACAGAGCTCAAAGCTGGTGGAGTGCCAAMCCTCCAACACCCAGGGGCCAAAGCTTCCCTCTCCCCATGCCAGGGCAGAGCCAGACCCGCAGGCAGCTGTGCCCAGGGGCAGCAGGGCAGTTACCTTGAGGCCTTGCCAAGGAAGGCTCCCACGGAGGAARTACATAAACATGTGCCCTAATGCTTCCAGGTCGTCCCTGCGGCTTTGTTCTGCACAGAGACAAAGAGACACGGGTCAGCTCCCACTACAGCCACTGTCCCTGTCGCCCCCAGATCCTGCAGCACCCCACGTGTCCTGCCAGCACCCTGAAGAGCAGGAGAGGCAGCTTGTCCCCAGCCAGGGAGCTGGGCAGGCTGCTGTGCCCACACACCTTTCCCCAGGTGGGTGTTGATGCTCATGTAACGCGCTGTCCCTGTCAGGCTCTTGTGCTCTCGGTAGGGGATGTGTTTTTTGGTCTCGGGGTCAATGTACTCTTTGGCCAGGCCAAAATCGATGATGTGGATGGTGTGCTGCCGCTTGCTGCCCGGCCGCCCCACCAGGAAGTTCTCTGGCTTGACATCTCTGTAGATCAGGCTTTTGGTGTGGACGTACTCCATCCGTGTGATCTGGGGCAGAAGGAGATGTCAGTGCCAGGGCAAAGACCCAGCCCGTGTCCTGCACCCTCCTGCTCCACCCACCTCATGCCTGCTCCCCTCGGCCTGGCCCGGCCCCAGGGATGGGCAGATCAGCTCCTCCTGCCCTGCGAGACCACCCCAGTCCAGCTGCACCRTGGGAGGCAGTGCAGTGAGAGGCTCTGGGTACAGAGTGAGAGGCTCTGGGTACAGAGTGAGAGGCTCTGGGCATGCAGGGAGATTCCCTGGGCACATAATGGGATGCCCTGGGCACACAGGGAAATGCTCTGGGCACACAGGGAGATGCCCTGGGCACACAGTGAGAGGCTCTGGGCACACAGGGAGATGCTCTGGGCACACAGTGAGAGGCTCTGGGCACACAGGGAGATGCCCTGGGCACACAGTGAGAGGCTCTGGGCACACAGGGAGATGCTCTGGGCACACAGTGAGAGGCTCTGGGCACACAGGGAGATGCCCTGGGCACACAGTGAGAGGCTCTGGGCACACAGGGAGATGCTCTGGGCACACAGTGAGAGGCTCTGGGCACACAGGGAGATGCCCTGGGCACACAGTGAGAGGCTCTGGGCACACAGTGAGAGGCTCTGGGCACACAGGGAGAGGCACTGGGCACACAGAGATGCCTGTCTGGGCTCACAGAGCGGCTGGTGAGGGGGATGGTGAACTCTCCCTCACCAGGGAGGGGATGAGGTTTGGCATGAGGGACTGGGATGTGGCAGCAGCCAGCACCTCTTTCAACATGCCGGGCACTGTCTCCCTCCTTTTGCCCTGTTCCACATGGGATGCCTGAGCACGGTGCCCACATTCAGGGCAGCCAGGGGTGCCAGGTGAGCTGGGCAGGGCTGCAGGGCAGGYGGAGGAGCTGCACTCACCAGCTGGATGGCGATCATCAGGACGGTCTTGAGCGTGAAGGTCCGATCGCACAGATCAAAGAGATCTTCCAGGCTGGGTCCGAGCAGCTCCAACACCATGGCGTTGTACTTCCCACAGGGGCCAAAGTAGTAAACCTGAGGAATTCCTTCTGCAAAACACRGAGCAGGGGCTGTGCAGGGCTGCAGCAGGGCCACGCTGTCACAGCTCTGTGTCCCCAACAGGGACAGGGGATGGCCCTGCACTGCCCTTCCTGCACAGCCAGCCTGGCTCTGCTCTGGGCAGCAGGGGGAAGGAGGCAGCTCCATCTGCATCCCTGACTCTGCTGCGGGGGCGGAGGGGGGAAAGAACTAAATCAAGAGATCAAAGATTAGACGAAGCTTCTATGCAAAAGCAGCCCCTCCTCCCTGCGGAGCAGATGGGCAGGAGCTCAAGCTGGGAGTGAAGTTGCAGAGTCACATTCAGGGAAAGCCTCTGTGGAAGCTCCCCAGGGCAGCTCAGCCCGGCCCCGTACCTGCATTGCCGAGCTGYTTGTAGAACCGATACTCCAGGTGCAGCTGGGGGGCCCGAGATTTTATGGGTTCCTTGGAGGAGAGAAAGGAGAAGTTAAGCTGGGAGCAGGATATTCAGGGGGTCTGGGTGTCAGACAGCTCCTCCACACGCTGGCAGCAACTGGACTGAGAGCATTTGGGGCTGGGAACAACTGGTATAAAATGGAGATGAAGCTTCAGATGACGAGAGAACATCAGCCCAAATGGGAGACAGATCATCCCATCTGGAGAGATCCAGGGGCTGGGATGGGCATTAATGGGAACAGTGTCACTGGGGCCACCCTCTCTGCTGCTGGCACCAGCTGATCACAGCACAGGCCAAGGTGAGGACTGGGAGCAGCAGGATCAGCTCTTCCTCCCAGACCCAGCTCACCCCATCTGCAGTGATGTGTGAGGTTCCCAGCCTGCCCCCAATTCCCAGCTGCCACCCATCCACCACATCCCAACCAGCTCCACCCGCCTCAACACCCAAGGAGGGGGAAAACCCTCCTTCCCAAGGGYCTGAACATCCCCCAGCCCCACCACGGAGGGTGACAGCCACTCACCAATTTGATAGCTACGTATTCGTTGGTGTAGAGATTCTTTCCTGCAGGGAGAGACATAAAAAGGCAATGGAAAGCAGTCCCTGCATCACCCCCACCGCTGATCCCCAAGGGCTCCTGGGCTTAAAAACATACTGAACAGGTTCTGCAGCTCCCCCAGCACCTGAAGGGGCCTCAAGGCATGAGAAGGAGCAGAACCCACTGCGGGGAGTTGTGACACGCCCGGTAATGATGCCCAGCAGAGGGGATGTGACTGGGCAAGGCAGGGACAAGGCTGGGACAAGGCTGGGACTCGCTGCTTCTCCAGACAGCCCAACAGGGACAGGGGGCTCCAGGGGGATGGCCACACTCGGGGGGCACTGAGTTGYGGGCACCCTGCAGAGGGTGGCAGGGAAGGGCCCCCAGGAGCAGCAGGGCAGCTGGCAGTGGTCTGAAAGGTGGAAATCTCTGCCCCAGGGCTGAGGTCACTGCTGGGAATGGCACATGTGTGTGGGGAGATGCTGCTGCCCACCCGAGGGCACAAGGGAAGCCAGGAGCAGCCCCATGGCACAGCCCAGACTGTTCGAGGAGCAGCTGAAGGCTGCAGGGAGTGCCAGGGGAGCTGAAGGAGCAGCCGTGGCACCCAGCACCCTGTGCATGCCCTCCTGGAGGGCTCAACACCCACACAGGACTTTTCACACACATAACCACAGGAAGGCTGAGCTCGGGGTGCTTCCACATCCCCCCAAAACCAGGGGGGGAAAGGGGACACACCTGAGGTGTGGCACGGCACCACCTCTGCCCAGGCCCACAGGGGCAAAGATTAAAGGTGTGCAGGAACAGCTCTGAGTGTTCCCCGGGTCAGAGCCCTSGGGAGCCCGGGCAGGAGGGAGTTAAGGGCAGCAGGTTCGCTCTGAGGCAGCAGACACGCGATCCCAGCGATGCCCCTGCCTGCCATGTGCGGATCCGATGGAGCTGCATCTGTCTCCTCGGATTTTCTCCAAGCAATTTGCTCAGGGAACAAGCTCCTCCTGGCGTAAGATTTCATCTGCTCCGGCGGCTGCTCTCCACCTGAAGCAGCAATAAATCCTGCCCGGGTGACATCAGAGCCAGCTGCTGAGCGCCAGAGTCGGCGGCAGGATTACGGGAACACGGATGAATGGGAGATATTAACGGAGCGGCTCCTCCCAGGGACGGGCTCTGCAGCCAAGGAGGGGCTCAGTGCTGCTGCCTCCCTGACCCTCTGCCATCCCAGGGGACCTCTGCCAAGCCACTCTGCCTCTGCACGAAGCAAATCCTTCACAGCGATTAGGGAGGAGGGGATTTGGGAGGGAGGGAGGAACGTCTGGCGAACGCAGCGTGTGCCAGATCCGGGGGGTTTGTCCCGTCGTGGGCTGGCATTTCCTGGGARCAGCTGGGACACTCCCCGACCTGTGCACGGCTCCAGAGAGCCCGCAGGGCCCTGCAATTCAGTCCAAAACAATTACTGCTGCCTTCAGGGCAGCAACCAAAAAACTCACAGCTGGATTTTCCCTGAGGTCAGGCAGGTTCTGATGGGGGAAAAAATAACGTGGCAGGGAAAGTGCCAAAGGGACACGGCAAAAGGGACTCGGCACAGTGGAGAGGGAGCAGGGACAGAGGCAGGAGTATCCCCAGCAATGTTGGGAGGAAGAAGGGATGGAGGCAGGAGAATCCCAGCAGGGCTGTCCTTGCAGAGCTCCACCCTGTCCTTGTTAGGTGACATCTGTCCTGTCCCCACCACACTGGAGCCTGTGGCTCCCTGGCACAGACAGCTACCAGCAACGAGCCTCTGGAGCTGGCAGAATTGTCCCAGCCCAAAAATGAGCCCACGTGATGCTCCCCTGGTTCAGCCTTTCCTTGAGGGGCTCAGACACAGCTGCTGGACAATATGGGGAGCAGAGAAAGCAGGGACTGGTCAAACCACCACGCTCTGATTCCCCTTCCGAATTAAAAAAGAGGCAAACAGCAGAAGTGGCCTGCCATGAGATTAATAAACCAACAGGAAAGAAAAGAGCAAGGAGGAAGGATTCCTTCCACAGCAGGGAACTCCCTGCTCCAACTCCTGGAGCTGCCTGCTCTGCCCAGTGCTCACAAGGGGGCAACTCTGACACCCAAAATGTGCCCGAGCCCAGGGAGCACCCGGGAGCACTCGAGCAGGCAGAGCACAAAAGGTGCTTTGGAAAGGAAATAAAAGAGAAAAAGGTGAGATGGGTGGCAGAAAGCAAATATTTGCTGCAGGGGCCTTTGCCCTGCCTGGTGCCAGAGGTGCCTCTGAATSCAGCTGCCAGCAGCTGCAGGATCTGTGGGGTCAGAGTGGGGCTGAAGGCAGGAGCAGGCRGCCAGACCTGGGGTCCGTTGGACACTGGACGTGGCTTTCTCTGCTGTCCCCTCCCCGGGGATGTGGCACYTGCTCCTGCACATCACAGCAGCCCGGGAGGAGCTGGGCTCTGCAATGGGCTCCCAGCTGGGTCCCCATCCAGCAGCTCAGAATCACAGAATTGTTAAGGTGGGAAAAGACCTTTAAGGTCACCAAGTGAAATTATCAACCAGCAGCACCACCATGGTCACATCAGCCCATGTCCTCAAATGCCACATCCACACGTTTTTGGAACACTTCCAGGGATGGTGACTCCACCACTGCCCTGGGCAGKTTGTTCCAGTGCTTCACAACTCTTTCAGTGAAGAAATTTTCCCAATTTCCAATCTAACCCTCCCCTGGCCCAGCCTGAGGCCGTTCCCTCTCCTCCTGTCCCTGTTCCCTGGAGCAGAGCCCGACCCCCCCGGCTGTCCCCTCCTGTCAGGGAGTTGTGCAGAGCCACAAGGTCCCCCCTGATCCCCCTTTGCTCCAGGCTGAGCCCCTTTCCAGCTCCCTCAGCCTCTCCTGGTGCTCCAGACCCTTCCTTGGACACACTCCAACCCCTCAGTGTCCTTGCTGTGAGGGGAAAAGCAAGCACTGAGGCTTCCCCTGTGCCTGGCACTGCCCCTGGCCTGTGGCACAGCAGCACAGAGCTGTGCCTGGGCACCAGGATGGGAATTTGGCTTCCCAGTCCCTGGCAGTGCAGTGGAGGAACAGGGGATGGGGCAGCACTGCCAGCACTGCAGCTCCACTGACACTGGAGGCACTAGGCCAAGCAATGACAGCTCCATGGAGCACTGGGGTTTGACATCTTTAGAAGAAAAAAGTCATTTTAGAGCTTGACTTTCCTCAAGAGAAGGCTCTAAACAACCAGGAGGAAAAACACTCCTGAGCCTTCAGCAAGGGAGGCAGGAGCAGCAGGAATTGTGTGGGTTCCTCTCTCCCAAAGCCTCCAAGACACTCGTGTGCCACCTCCAGCACGTGKTGGGTTGGTGGCTGAGCCCATGGCCACACTGCAGGAGCTCAGAGGGACATCTCAATGGAGCCCAAGATAGGAGGGTGTCCCACGCAGGGCACTGACCCCAGACACATTTTCAGAAGGTGCTTTTTGTGGTCCCAAGTAACTCCTGATGCGTTCCTGGGAGGCTGCAGGACAGGCCAGAGAGCCACAGCTCAGGAGAGCTCAGGAACGTCCCCCTCAGCTGSGACATGGCCCTGACCCACACACCGCACACAGACCCACCCCTTGTGTCCTGCCCTCCAAAATCCCCAGTTTACTTTCAAAAACAATGAATTTCCAACTTTTAATTCTGAAGAAAAACAGGCGCTGCAGCTCCAAGGGGCAGCTTTTCAGTGCCCACCCCTCTGCCCCAGCAGCAATGCACCCAGCAGGCAGGGGAGAGGGTTGGGCACTGAAAAGCTGCAAAAAGCACATTGGCAGAAGTTTATTGCAGGAAGAGCAGGAGCAGCAGCCACTGCCAGGGCCCCAATCCTCCCCTGCACCCTGCTCTAGGCTGAGACTGCCCTGGGGYAGCTCCATGGCACAGCCTGGCCAGAACAGCAGCCTTGGGCTGGGCTCAGGGGCCCTCAGGCAGCACAGCAGGACAAAGGGCAGCTCCTGGCTCTGAGGGGCTGCACAGCACCCAGCTTTGGGTTCCAGATTGACCTTCCCGCTTGATGTCTGGGTTTTCCTCCTCTCCCCCTACCCCAGCCCACCCCAAGCACTCCTGAGCGGCACCTGCTCCAACAAACCCTCTCTGGGAGCGTGCTGGCCCTGCTCCTGGGGTGCAGGGAGTGGTAAGGAGCTGGCAGAGAGCTGGCAGGGCTGCAGCTCGGGGCACACAAGCCACCAGCCACACTCCAGTCACCCCATTGCCAACAGCATGTGCTGCCTTGTGTTTCAGAGGGCAGGGTCCCACCCTGGCACCGAGTGGGGCTGGCTGTGGGCAGCAGATGGGCAGGGGGAGCTCGGGGAGCTGCAGGCAGCGGGCACTGCCCAGGGAGGCTGCTGGAAAGGCCCTGCAGGAGCTGGGCTGGCACTGGACCACAGCTGGATGCTGGCAGGGGGCACTCAGCAGCTCGGGGTGAGGCACCAGGACATGAAAAGGTAACAGGACCCAGCACCTGCACATCCTAAACCTTCTCCTCTGTGCCACAGGGCTGGGGCAGCCCCCCAGCTCCAGCTGCCAGCCCAGCTCTCCAGTCACGCTGGTCCAGTGCAGAACTGGCYGGCAGCAATGCCACACTGGGACTGGCACCACGTGCCTGCATTGCCCAGGATGCCAAGGCCAGCAGGAACGTGGAGAGGCAGGATCCAAGCGCACAGTGCTGGCAGCCACAACTCCTGCCCGCGTCATTCCCCTTCTGGCTTCCCACAAAYGCCTTATGCCAATTTTTCTTTTCTATTTCATCTTTAAACAGATCACTTTTGATTTTGAACACCTCCTACATGGGTGGACACTCATATCTACCTCGGGTAGCTGAGCTGAGGCACCCAAAGGACAGATCACCATGTGCCTCTCAGTGTGGTGGAGAAATAGGGCAAAGTGGCAACTTTTTGTGGAAGACAATCTCCCCTTCCTCCATCCCCATCCCTGGAAGTTGGAGGAATCACCTCCAGGCATGTTTTTGCAAGATCTCCTGGCCCTTGTTATGAAAGGAAAGAGGCCAAAGATGATCTGGGAGGTTTAAACATTGAGCTACAGTTTGGTCTCTAAAGCCTTGAGGACTGAATCCTCTGCTCCCAGGGGAAAGGATTCAATCCTTTCCCTGCTCATGCCACCACTTCACAGCAGGAGCCCTCTGGTCCTTTGCCATTCATCTGCAGTTGGAGGAATCCCTAAATCCTGAAAGCATTCCTGAGCCCTGATGCAGTTCGAAGGCACACCTAAGGAAGAGAGATGTGATTTTAGGAGAGAAGCCACATAGCTGTGGCTTCCACTGCTGCGATGAGTTCTTGTGCTCAGGCCTGTACCATGTTATGGGCAGGCACTGCAGGGCGTGACAGAGCAAAACAGCCACGTGAAGGGACTGGAAGCTTCTCTTGCTGGTGGCAAGGACAAAYTCTCACAGTGAGAATCGACCACTGYGGTGCCCCGGAGCGAGAGCTCGCTGCTGTCCCTCCAGCCACGAGCAAACCGAGCCCAACTGCTCCCAGGTCCCTGCAGCAGCTCTGCTCGGAGCAGCCTGGCTGTCAGTTTGACACATTCCTCAGATCCATGTGAGACTCATGTCCCCTCGGTGCTGCCCCTGGAAAACGAGGGGGAGGCTGAGGCGGGGGGGTCATGCTGACCCTCAGCGCTGAGCACAGCAAAGCAATGCGGTCCCAGATCCTCGAGCAGGATCCTGGGATCCAGCCCACCCTGGGATCCAGCCCACCCAGAAACCAGGGATCCAGCCCATCCTGGGATCCAGCCCATCCTGGGATCCAGCCCACCCAGAAACACGGATCTGCTGTGGGATGCTCACTGGCAAGCAGGGAAAAGGGAGTGCAAGGACACAGGTGGACCCTGCACAGCTCAGGGCTCTCTGTCCGCTGGCACACACATCATGTCCACATCCTTCCAGGGCACTGAAAGGAGCAGCTGGTGTGGTAAAATCCCCAAACACCTCTCCTTCCACAAGCCCCGGGTGTGGAGGAAGGCTCGGACACTGGGAGGGACAGACCCTTTGCTGCAGAGCGCAGGAACTGCTCGGCAGGATTTKGCCCAGAGCGTTTCCCCAGCTCTGCAATTACGCGAGAAGCACGGGGACAGGCGGGCGAGCCTGGCACCAGCCAGTCTGTCACGCCGGGAAGGGCTGACATTAACTCCCCACACAGGGTGGTGGGAACTGACCCCACCCGAGCCGGGGCTGCCACAGCTCCTCCCCGGGCCCACGGTCGGGGCAGGTTTAGCTCAGAGCTCGGTTTGAGAAGGCGCTGCTTAAAATATCACYGAGAAACAAGGCCCGTGGCTGTCACAGGCTCTGGGGACAACCCCTCTGCCCTCTTCCCAGGGCATGAGCCCCTTCCCAAAGCACTCACAGCCAAGGACAACGCTACAGCTGGCAGAGACTTCACCCTGACACATTCCTGGAGACATCCAGATTGGCACAGAGGTGCCTGGCACTGCCAGACCACTCCCAGCTGCCTGATGCCAAGCAAAGGGTTAACAGCTTTGCTGCAGGTCTCCTGGGATATTCCCAGTCATGGGAGAAGAGCAACCTCCCCATTCTCCAAACCAGGAGTTTGGTTGAGAAATTTCCTGATAAACTTGGTTCAAAATGGAAAGCAACCATGGAAGGTCCTTGGGTTTTATTCCTCCCTTTCTCTGCCCTGCAAAACATTTYCGGAGAGTCTCTCAAACAGTTGTTTGAGAATTTAGCTGGGCTAAAACTGGTACTCTCCTCCCCAAATGTTTGCCCCAGCAGACTGATCACCCCTCAGACCCCCATGCTCCATCCCCTCTTCACAAGGCACAGGGGAAGGGAAGCACTGTGAGCACAAGTGGGGTGAGATTTGGTGAGCACACAGYGGATCTCCTGAATCATTCCTCACCGAGTGTTCCTGTGTTCGGGGGACACCTCAATCTCCTCTTATAAGAGACAGAACCGAACAGTAACATTCTCCCTGACAGACCCAGAGAGTGACAGGCACAAGGATAGAGGGAAACTCCTCTGCAATCAGTCCTTGGGGCTGGGCTGGGCCTTGGGAGATCAAGCACAGTGTGAAAGGATTAAGGAAGTGGAACCTCTGTGAAGGAACAAGGGCTGCCTGCAAGGGGCAATGCTTCAGCATTGTGTGTGCCCATGGCCTGGGCCGTGCTTGTGCCAGCTCCTCCYGCTGCAGCAGGAGGATGCCAGGGCAATCCCAGCACGAGTGGGTACAGCGAGGACAAAGATGACCCTTCTCACCTAGACGGAGCTCCCCGAAATTGCCGCATCCAATCTTCTTGCCGACACGGAAGTTGGGACCCACCATTAAGACTCCCGAGTTGGTTCCAGCACCCCGGCCTCCATGACCACTCCTTCCTCCACCTGTCTTGGACATCCTTTTACCTTCCTCCAGCTCCCCTTTCCCTCCTCTCTTATCAAAATCCATAAGTTTGTGATACCCCGGCCTCTCCACGGTTACGCTGCTGCCATACAAATCCCAGAGCTGCCGAAAATGGAAGGGTGAGGAGGAAAGAAGCAGGGTTCCTCTTGGTTAATACACCATTCCGGTGAGCGGTGGGAGGGCGGGGTCTGGAGAAGGAGGGGTAAGAGGCCGTCCACGGGTGCTGGGCTACTGAAATGTTAGTGCTTCCCGAAGTCCCGCCGGGACTGTCATCATCGCCGCTCACAGGGAGTTCTTTGGTGGAGAGAACATCCTGCGGACAGGGTCCTCCCAGCGCAGCTCCTCCGTCTCCCAGCTGTGGAAAAGGAGAGGGAGAAGATCAGTACGAGGAGGCAGAGGATWACAGAAGGTTGTGGGACGCAAGCTCGTGCCCTCAGCTCTGAAGAGTCCCTCCAGAACCTTCCCTGCATCACAGATAATTCCCACAATATTGTTCCCACAATAACAACAGTGCTGCTGGTGAAGGGTGGGAGAAGCTGGGATAAATATCAGGATCATCACAGAGTGCCCCGTGTCCAAGATGCTGGTTTAAATAAATAAACAAATTAATTTAAAAAAAGCTTGGTCAGCCAGAGGTGAAATGAGTGYCTCCATGTTGGAGGCAGCTGAGAGTGACGTGGGGACAAAACTGTCCCCAYGGGGAAGCGCTGCTGGCAGCCTCTGGAGGCACCAGCCAGAGACTCTGAACCACACATTATGGGCACACCATGCCACATGAGGGGCTTCACATGGAGTGGAAAGAATGTTCCCCTGGCTGGGGGCATCCCTGTGGATCCAGGACTAGCAGAGTGTGAGCACTTCCCACTCCAGCACTGGCCCCTGCTGTGGTGGACTGGGGTCCTGTGCCAGCGGCACTGCCCAGGACACAGTGTCTGTAGAATTGCCACACTCAGGGCTCCCAGCACAGCCCACCTGGGCTGGGGGAACACAGCCACTGGCCAACAGGAACTTACTAACACCCCACTGCCTCTTCCTCTGCCCTTATCAACCAACCTGGATTTGAATTGCAAAGCTGGGAGCGAGGTCCCTTGGCTGCAGGCCAGGCCAATGCTGTGACATTTGCCAGAGCCACTGAGGGCCATGGGAGCTGGTTTGCTCAGGGGTGCAGCACGCTGCCTGCCTTGTGTGCTCCCACAGCCTCCCAGTGAGGCTGCTGCTGGGGTTATTTGTGCTTTCCTTGGGTCCCACAAACAGGACACAGCTCAGCCCCGCACACCAGGGAGGGCCTGATCAGAGCCCTGATCACAGCAGGGGCTGCACAAGATGATCTTTAAGGGTCCCTGCAACCCAAACTATTCCACGATTCCATGACACCGGCTCCACACACATCCCTGTGCTCACCTGGGTACAACAGCCCAACATTGAGGCCAAAGCAGCCCCTTGCTCCTTTCTGGAGACAAGGCTGAGACGAAAAGAACATTGAGCAGCTCCATATTCAAGGAACCAGGTTCCCAAGCAAAAGCTGTGCCCTCCATCCCTCCAGGACTGCAGCAGAGTGGTGCTCCTGTTCCCCCTGCCCTGGGGGAAGGTCAGGCTGGGTCCCTGCTCACAGGGACACTGGAGTGGGAGGCAGGAAGGACGGTCAGGACAGAGGGAGTCAGCAGGAGCTGGATGCACACATGAGAGATCCACACACCTCCCTTTCTCCCCAYTCTGGTTTAGCTCCTAGCTTGATCCTCGCCAGCCTCCCACCCTTCCTCATCCTCCCCTCTTCCCCGCCTTCCTCTGCTCCTCTCCAGGCCCCTGGGACACCACTCAAGCCCCACAAGAGCCCCCAGTGCTGCAGGCTCCCATTCTCCCAGCGGGTTATCCAAGCCAACCCCCCCCTCTCCAGTGCTCGGCTCCAGGAAATGAACACGCTGCACGGGCTGACGCTTGGCCAAACCCCGTAAAACTTTTTACTGGCTCCTGATAGCTATTAATAACAAAAAAAAAAAAAAGCTTCTTGTGCTCAAGGGTGCACGGAGGGAAACGTGGGAGCTCTAAGAGCAACAGAGGGAAAAGACACCAAAGGCAGAGCTCAGCAGGGGGAAGGACTGGCCATGGAAGGGTCGAGGGGCAGGGGAGCTGCTCCCTGGGACTGTTCCCAGCCCTCTCCTGACACGGAATCCTCACTCTCCACAGCATCCTGGCACACTGCCACTGCTCTGCAGGGACCACAGCTGCTCCAAAGGTGCAGAGTGCTGGGRTCCCACCTGTGGGACCTGCCTGTTCCAAGCACTGTGGAGCAGCGCTTTCCTGCGGGATGGGAGAATCTCCAGCCTCCCTCCAACACCTCCAGAGCATCCCCAGGGCACAGCAGCCCAGCCCTCCAAGGCCACCCCCAGCACACCAACACCCAGGCACCACCCTGCTGCACCCACACAGCTCCACTGAGGGAAACTGAGGCACACGGTGCCTTCCAGCTGTCCCAAAGGTGGGCAGCCACGGGCTGGCTGGTGCCCCTGTGCTCCCTTCCCCCCGCAGGCCGGCGGTACCAGCAGGAAGCGGGGTGGGAGCGGCAGGAGCAGGGCTTCCCTGCGCTTTGTTCTGCCCCGGCCCGAGCGCGCACGGCCCACACGTGMCATCCTGCTCATTCTTCGCTCCCCCAATGATTTCCGCTCGGGATTCGGCACATGGCGCTGCCCTCCCGACCTCCTCATGCTTCTCCCACCTCCGCTGGACGTCAAGAGCCATTCCCCCACGGCCTCCCGGCTCCCAGAGCGGCCAGCTCTCCAGGAGCTGCTTTCCCTGGACACTGGGAAAGGGGAGCAGCCGCTGCTGCCCAGGCCCTGCTGCTCCATAACCTGTTTTCGTTCTCAATCAGACCTTTATGCTCAGTCCCAGGGGATTCCAGGCCCAGACTGTTTGCACAGAGTCAGGCGGCCGACAGCCAGAGCCGAGGGAGCTCCAGCCCCGGCGCTTGGGATTATTTTCTTTGAAGAGTTATGGCCCAGCCTCTGTGAGGGAATTTCAGACAATGAAGTGAGACAGAAGGGAAAAATTAAATCCCGTTTCCTGCGAGCACGGGGAGACTGGGCTGCCTTCTCCCAGCCCAGACAAACGCAGGGAGCAGCACAGTACGACTCTGGTCCTGCCTGGGGAGCCTCGGGAGCAGCCCTCCTGGAGGGGCCCAGCTCCAAACCCCAATTTCAGACATCTAGGCCAGACTGACACCCAGCGAGGCCACAGCCCAGCCCCCCGAGTTGGGGCTGCCACGCTGCAATTCCCCCTTTCCCAAAGCCGGAGCAGCAGGAAGTCACCGAACCGCAGCCATGTGAGTCAGGCCAGGGCAAGAGATGCTCCCTCACACTCTGCCCACCAGCCTCCCCAGCGATGAGCCAAGGGCTGGGAGGGATTTATTTGCTCATCCCAGCAGTGCCAAGGAGACACAGAGGCTCCCTGGAYCTCAGGACAAAAGCAGGACCCACCTCTGTGCAGTGTCAGTGACTGCTCAGGTTTTCCACCCCGTGCAATAAAGGGATCACTGGCCTTTAAAATTAAGAACAACCTAATTAGAAACAGAAACTTTTGGTAAAATCCCAGGACTCCCACTGCTCTGGAGCAAACAAAACCTGTGTTTGTTAAAACACAGCAGCCTTTGGATGGGAAACAGGGACCCAGACCTGACCCATCCTCCCCCAGGCAGCAGCACCACGGGGRAAGATTCCCTGGATAAAACTGATATCACATCGTTCCATTTTGTACAGGAATCCTCACCCAAAAGGTCACAGCGAGGCAAGCAGCCTCAGGAAAGCACCTTCTAGGCTGGATTTGTTGGCCTGGGATCAAATCTGATGCAAGATGAGACTAAGAAAACTTGTTTCTCTCTTTAGGAGGGAGGGGGATGAATAAGGAAGAAAAAAAAAAAAGAGAATTGGCCTGAAGTTTGGCAGAAGAAATTCCAAAGCAAGCTGTGGTCTYAAAGCAAATAAGCACTGCCCTGTGGTGTTTGCAGTGGCAGTGCTCCGAGCCAGGGATCCTGGAAGGGAAACAAACTCCAGGCAAGTGCCTGAGCACCCCCAAACCAGACCTCAGAAACACCAAAARWRCCATAAAAAGGGGGCAAGCCCACAYACCCTTGATACCCAAAGAGGGAGTTCATGGCGCTTTTGTTGAAATATTGGGTCTTTTTTTTCTTTGCCATCTGGTTTTAAGCAGGTCAGGGCTGCTCCAGTCACATTTACAAGTTTTTCTCTGCAGACGTAAGGGTGAGAAAAGGGGAATTGGGGTTGGRGGGAGTTGTTTTTTATCTTAAAATAAGAAAAGCTGCAATTCTAGTGCTACCCCTTGTCTCTGTGATTTGGACCAAAATATCAAGGCTCGGGAAGTTCCTGCCCACATTTGCAAGTATAAGATGCTGAAGAGTCGTATTTTTAAGAATTTCTTCCCTGTAGAATGAAACGCCGTGGCTGCCGAGGAGGCACTTGTACAAACCATCTGGGGCACATTGTTCTCAGCCCTTTATATGAACACACACACCGTGTTCCTGCCCGAAGGAGGTTACAGCTAAACGGGGCAAGACAAAAGAGGGGAAGAAGAGGAAAAAATAGCGGCCTGGAGCAGGGAAGCGGCCAGTGAAGGGCAGCGAGGAGGTCTGTGGTGCTGCTCGGAGCAGAGCCCAGGTGTCCTGGAGCAGCCAGCATCCCCGGGTGCTGCTCCCTGATCCCCAGCAGCCTTTGGGATGCTCCTCRGAGCTGGTTTCCCCATGTACTCTGTGCTCTGTGAGCTGAAGGGAAACACAGCTGCATCCAGATGAAAGAGAAAGGAAAGCTTCTTGAGAGCACAAAGAGAAAAGCCCTTGACACTCTGCAGCTCCAAGTACAGATCACTGCCAATTAAAGGCTAAAAATAATCACAAATACCCCGATGTCCCAAAGGATGACCCATCAGCTGGCTCCCAACGCAAAAATCCAGACCAAAAAGCAACCAGTGGCCTTACACAGCTGAAACCAAATCCCAATAAATTCTAAAAGTTGAAGAGGCTCAGCTTACAGGGAGATCAAAAGTCTTAAAACAAAGCAAAGCCTTAAAACATCTTCAGAACGAGCTGCAGACGGTCCCAGATGATGTCTGCAAGGGTTTGTTGTTAAATACATGTTGGAGCCTGCAGAGCCTCAGCCAGCCCCACTCGTGACGGAGAAGGGAAGGAGGTTTCCCACACCAGGGGCTCATGGAAAGCTCCACCAGGCTGCCCATGGGAACCCTGCAGTGGGTACGGCCAAAGGGGCTGCCAGAACAGGGCTGGGTCAYGTCAAACTTCTCATCCATCAAAGATCCCAAATCCTTCTCCCCAGGGCTATCTCCAGCCATTCT